GGGGTCACCAAACCATTTCGACCGCGGGCCAGGTATGACTCGAACTGTGTTGAAACGGGCCGGACAAATATATTTGTAAACGCAACATAATAAATTCACAAAAGTTAAATTCACAGAAGTTCGCCGAAAGCACGCGCCACGAGTGCATCCTTTGCAGAAAACGTTGCGTACCGGTGGAGAGTATTAGCCTATTTTATCACAGCTATTTATAGCTTAATTTTTGAATAACGCAATTAAACTTCTAGGAAGGCAAATTGATGATTGACTTATTTGATTCATACCTAGATTTCCGAAACACAACCAAAAACTAACGGATAGCATTCAAAATCGCGAAAACGAGGTATTGTTCACAACCACGACTGAAAACGGGTCGTAGTTTGGTGATCTCTGGTCTATACCATGTGAGATGCTACTCGCCTATTCATAGTGAAACTTTCCTCTCATTTAATCATTATATATTTTTCAAGTTTAATGATATAATTCAATTTACTAGATTAGAAATTGTTCATTGATTTCTTTTTATAGGAAATGCTAAATTGTGCAGACACTCCGGAACTACACACAAGGGCCGTGTATGGAGATTGTGGTTCTATATCATCGCTTATGCGTTGTATATGTTTGTCGTGAACGGGATTGACCTTTTTCAAACAATGTTTTTCATTTCTCGACCAATTTGTTTTACTCCAGAACTTGTCGGAGCCCAGAATGTGAGTGTATTTTCAGCTAGCATAGTCTTTACTATATAACTTCGTAATAAGTCGAAAACAATCGTTTCAGAAAAACAAGGGATTTGGTTCAAAAATAAATTTTTTACCAATTTGAGCATGTTGCGATTCATTGAATAAATTTTTCACAAATACATTTTAAAAATACCAAAAAGTACTTGATGAAGCAATCTTTCAGATTGTATAATATACTGAGTTTGATACCTATTTTGGTGCATTTTACGGTACTCATGTAGTACGCAAAACAAGATGGCGGACACCGGAACGTAGTATGTGTATCAGTTTAGGGTTAGGCAATAATTCCAGGTACAAATACTACGGAAGTTATTTGGCTAGTACCCGAACTCGTAATAGAACTAAAATAAGGAAAATTAGAATAAAATTATGTCCTAACCCAAACCTGGTACTCATACTACGTTCCGGTGTCCGCCATGTTGGTGCACATACTACGGGAGCACCCATTTTACTCGACAGCAATGAACCACCATCTTCTCTATTATCACCTATCAGATTCCAATCAGCTTTCAAAAGTTTAATAACCTGCGTGAAATCAATACCTTGATATATTAATGTTTAGAATTCTAATCTTCGTTGTTCCAGGCTATTATTTCAACATGGGTTCCTTTTCGCTTACCGACTTAACATTTGCATTCAGAGTCTTGACGCTTCGTCTATAATTTTCTCAATATTTCTTGTCATTTTTTATGAAAATGTACTTAATATGGAAAGTCAGGCAATATTACTAACTGCAATGTTTGCTCGTTTGACTACGTCGCTATTGATGTTTTGTTCGAGTGAAGCTACTCTTATCTTTATTGGTGAGTTATTTGTAATATTTCTATAATGTATTTAGTGCATTATATACACAAGAACATACCATTATTATTTCAAATTCATCAAAGCTGATCTTTATATTCCAAATACTCGAAATACAAACAATACGAAATAGTAATTAATATCACAAATTTCTTTCTAAATTTAAACTGAATGTGGGATGTCGTGTCGTTGGCTTAATTAGGAAATTTAGTATATATTTTTTATGCTGTACATTTGTTGAGTTGGTCGACTGCAATACGTAACAGTTTATCGATTTTTATAACTATTTTTATCAAATATCTTATCACAATTTCACATTTATGTGTTATTGCATGTTATATTTGATTATCTGTCTGGAATTATATTTGGTTTTCTGTATCTGCTCTTTTTTCACCTTCATTCTCTGTCCTCACTGTTCATTCTACAGTAAACTACATTCTACAGCCAACCAACTACTAAGGAGCAGAATTTCAAGTAGATATCAGAGCTACTATCAAAACCCTCTCTAATATTTTCTGTAGCACAACCATCATCGCTTCATGAAGTTATCATGAAATAGGGAATACCGGCCACCTGGTGGGCTGCGTGGCTCTTCGATATACAGGGTGGTCGCCAGAAGAACATAAAATTTGTCAAACAGCTATTCATTTTTAGGAAGAATAACTTTTATAAAGTTTTTTGAAGGCATATGTTATATTACATTTACAGAAGCTCAAAATGTCGCCCGTGCACTCCAGATCAGTGGTTAAACTATAGAAGTCCAAGCTTGAGTAGCGTTCGGGAAGTTAACTTGCGGGATATAATTTCAATTCAACCTATACGCATTTTATTAGTAATCGCATCTGACTTTCGAATTTTCTACTTATCCAGCGAACACCCTATAATATCAAGTGGGCGATGTTGCAAAAATCTTTAATTTCCCGATCTTTCAAACCTAATTTCAATATTAGAATCAGTCTTGCTTCCCCGGGCTTCCTTCCTCGAGCAAGATTTGCTGTTAGCCTTTTTTGTAATTTTGTATGCTATCATTTCTTATTTCAGTGGCTTCGAAAACATAAACTCGTCTATGACTATGTTTCATGTTTAAAAATATTACGATTTATGTAAACTCTATTATTAAAAATATTTAGCTACCAGTATAGGCCCGTTCAGTAATATAACGTCACCATATTTGAGACGAGGGATATCATCACTAGTATCGTCATTCGAACAAGGTAAGCAGCATACATCATGAAAATACATATTTATCAGATAAGAATAATTTGATATAGCCCTATCTACATGCTTCAGGCTCAGTCTTTGCTTTGCTGTCTTTTGTCAATGGAATTATCGGAATATTCACCCCAATTGTTGTTTTGACTTTATATCCAGCAACTCTTGCTATCTCCTACTCATTTATATGGATTGTAATGGCATCAATACTATGTTGTCCACTGATTCTAATGACGTAAGTTAAATCTACCTTTTTACGATCTTCCCATTGGCTTAAAACTGTGTCTTACATAATGTAAAAAATTGTACTAGTGAACAGTAAATCCTAATGTCGTTTTCAGTTTACGTTTCTCTAGTACAGCGTTTCCCAACCTTTTTTGGTCGCGGACTATTTTTTCACCGGCGAAAATCTTTGCGGACTCAACGTGCGTTTATTGCAACCGTACTCTGTGTGAAGAAATAATAAAACCAAACACAACAGAATTTTAAAATTGGAAATTCGCCGCAACTACGCGTTTGTTAAAGAGCCGACTTTTTTAGTGTATAAATGGACTTTTTTGTCGCACAATATTCAATCCATGACGACGAATTTTTCCTTATACCTAACTTCAGAATATAAATTGGCGGATAAACTAATTATAGAGTTGTTATACATGAGAATGAAGGCCAAGTAAAAGTGAAATGTTTGTAATATTATTATTCAATTAAGTCATCTAAGGCTAAGCAACGAAACTATAACATGCACCACAAGTGACCCCCCCCCCCCCCCCAATGCATAACAACTTCTTTAATTTGTTTATCCCCCAAATTATTGGAGGAGGTGGGAGGAATAAGGGGCATCATTATCAGAAACTCGTCTCGGCCAGCAGAAAGTTAGACACCTCCCTACACCCTGGGTCTTGAAACTCCAGTTCCAAACTCCGAGAATGAAATCCCGATAACAAATATTTGCTGTATATCTCAAATAGAACGGTAAATGCTGTTGTTGTCATAAACCTTTATTTTAATTTAATTTTATTTTAATTTAATTGTGTTCATAGTCACTCGCGGTTGCGTCGACTTATAACAAGATGAAAGCATTACTTCTTTAAAATTCCACGGCCATCTGCGAACATAATAATGTGAGAATACATTGCCCCATTATATTTAGTTTTGATACATATTTTTTTGCGATCTTGCGAATTTGTTAACGCCGTTAGAAAAATCCTACTATCTGTTATAAATTTCCAGAAAGTACAACTTGATTCAGTACTTATTAAAAATATAATTCAAGTATATTAGTAAATCAAAAAATATATATCATCGCCTTGCTTTAATTATTATTTATTTTATGGTGATCATTTTAATCTGCGGCTGTGTTGATGAAACAAAAGCAATACTACTCAGAAAATATCATGACAGTCAGTGGACACAAAACTACGTGGTGCCCGATTATATTTTGTTTTTCGTATTTTTGTGAATACGACAAATCTGAGCTGTCCGTAAAACATTTACGGCGCTCCAGTACTGTACCTACTAATGTGGAAGCAGAAAAGCAAAGAATCTTAAGGGAAAATGCCCTGATACACGTATACTACAGTAACACCCGAAATTTTGCGATTTGCAATGTCTAAAAGAGCGTTTTTAATTTGAAACAAAAGTTATGGCATTCTCCGTTTTATTTCTAGTATTTTGTATTGTCGCTTTACAATTTAGCAAATTTAGGTTGTCACCATTGACACACACCAGATAAAAATGATTCCCCGTTGTTCGAGCAGGCGAGAAACACCACTTAGGTATCTATCTATCCATGCGCGTGCCGACTCGTGTTTTTGTCGGAAATCCGCAAGTGAGTTGTGAAATCCAATCGTTTGATTAAGCGACTCGCAAGTGACCTGTCGCGTCACCTGTTACCAAATTTTCGAATAGTAAATTGCTATTTAGTTGAATATTCGAATATGCCCAGCCCTACTCAGTATCCAGTAATTATTGACTCGATTAATGTTATGTGAAGAAACTTGTTTTCTATGTTTTATGTAAATTCTAACGTAAATAGTAACTTGGCTGATGGTTAAGTTTCGCAAAAACGTTTGCGGCCCGCTGTGAATTTCCGGCTCGTTGCGGACTCATTCAAACGCTCCGCGGACTCATTTGAGACCGCGAACTCGGGTTGGGAAACACTGCTCTAGTATATATTAGATGTTCACATTCATCAAGTTCATTCGTCGAAAACCTGCATTGTTGTTTTTAGAATCGTATGGATAGCGGATAAGAAGCGGACAGACTCAACAAATAAATAAAGATAAAAAGAATCGTGGTTCATTGCACCCTTTATCTGTTGTTCAAGTTTTCGGTTTCTACAGGAAATACGAAGAAAATTCGAAATATGCGAATATTATACATCTGAAATTAGTTTTTGTTTTACTGACAGTTGTATAGCATCGACTTCCATTATTTTTTATGAATCCAGTATTATTAGGTGTAATTGTTTGTTTTCGGCGCCCGCCCAGTGTTTATTTTTTTCGTACCTAAATGATGACTTTACGCTAGGACTCTTTTTGTTATGTCTCATTTATTTAAAAAAAAAAAGGCTTTGTGTAATAGCACATTAAAAGCAATGTTTTCTTCTAAACATAGAAATGTCTTGTTACTCTGCAATCCAAGAATAATGCCTGCGTCGAAAGGATAACAATTTTCACACAACTTTGCTCGACATTGCAGCTGCAACATAAAGACAACAATGTCAGCGATTTGGTTTCTGATTTGTTAAAAATGCATGTAAATTGTACGCACCTTGATTTTTAGTTGAAGATGTTAGAAGATTCTCAGAGCCGCAATAACGTTAATGCTACTGCGCATACCGCATCGCTGACGCTGTTGTAACGTGTATCGGAACACAAACAACACAGGCATTCTCTCAACCACACTCTCACAACAACACAACTTTGGTATAACTTACCATAGCTTATTGTGTAGCTATAAATGGGAAATGATAAGTCCGCATTCGCAAACGTACCCAGGGTTGATATATACCTAATAACAAAAGTCAAAAGTTTGAAATTTTTACCGGGTTTATAGCTGTTGACCTTCGCAACCTTTTCTTTACTGGCCTTAGCTTACTGTAGGCTCCGGCTAATCCAACCTCTGCAAATTGCATTTTATAACCAGCAGTTCCTGCACCTCCGCTTGATCCTATATAGAAAGGCGTGATATTTCTCTAAATTCCCTTCAAAAATAGCACAGAAGAAGTCATAAAATAAAATAAAAGTAATAAATTTAATATTTACCTTCCAAAACCAAACTACCGATTTCTGTTTGTAACTCTTTTGCAATAGCATTTAGTCCGTTAAAATTTTGTGCCATAAATACGCGATTATCGTCCAATGCATCGCCATTTGCAATCAGCTAAATTGAAAGATTTATGTCAAGACAGTATTGGAGAAATCCATACAATATGGTGGATAGTATTAATAATGCCTATTTCAGATTCTTTTTGCCTTCCTGTATACACTATTTATTTAATTTATTTTTTATTGTACTTCAACGATGTACTAACTGTTATGACAGTATCAAACGAGAACATATGTGTAACACAAGTTGTATTTACTCGTAATTCTGTTGTGTTAACCTTCCGTGCACCGCCAACTCCAATCGCGTATGTTATTACGCCAATTTCCCGTAACTTATCAGCGTTCCCAGGTACGTCATTTTTGTCCATAGCTCTGCAAAAATATCAGAATTCTACATAAATAAAATCGACCTCCACGGGAGATGATATTATAATTAAATCAATCCAAATTTTAAAATTTTCACTTCAAACCTGCAAAGTACTTACTGTCCGTCGGTGAGTAAAACCATAACTTGTTTCGTCATCGTTTTGTTGTAGTTTGTAGTGTTCTGGAAATCGATAGCGGCTTTTTCCAATGCTTTACCAGTATATGTCGTATACCCGTGCAAAGTAATATCATTAACAGCAGACTGTGAAATCATCGTAAATGCATTATTACACTTTCACTGAAAATTTGTGTTTTAGGTATTTACAGTGCTCTTAATTAATTAAGCGAGAAACACATTCACAGATGTTTAAATCGGCTTTTTAGCAATTATGCCTGTCCCATCCCATTCCCATTGGAAATAAAATTCAGTGAAAATTGTTAAATTTGGGTTTAGCGTCTAATAAATAGGACTACACGTACTAAAAGACATGCAAAACAACAAAATTTATGGACTTTGTTAACTTTATATTCATAACTATTATCAATGTGTCCATCAGCCCCTTTACGAAGTATATTCTTAATGCTGAATATATTTTGTTCTTTATAAATACCAAGAAGGCTATGCTCAAATATATGGACACAAAGTTTTGTACCATCATTCCCCGAAAATCATACGGTTTTCGTATCCCATGAGAAATATAAATGTGTACTGTCCCATCCCATGGGATCTCCCGGCGAATCTCCCGTCTTATTGGGAACTACGGTATTTGTCACTGGATATACTCAAAATAATCGAAGGAACCCAAAATAATATGATCAACCAAATAGAGTTTATCTTACTATAGGAAGGAATTAGTTGAAGATCGGTAACTTCGCGTATAGAATAGCATTTTCATATTTTCCCCATGTAAAGAAAAGTCGAATTAATAATGTTACATCCCACAAACTTTTGTTCGGTTATGAGTCGAAGTGTGCGATATGCATGAACTTGTATAGTGAAGGTGTTTACGTGAACCTCTCCGTTACAGCAAAGATTGTAATAACATCATATTCAACTGAAATCAAGTATTCGTATATACGTACAAGGCAATTGGCGACGCGATGAAAATTTATTTCTTTCTGGCCGCCAATGACTTGGAAAGAGATTTGAGATGATTATTATTATTCCTAATTTTTATGCCTGATCAGTGGTGTGAATAAAATTTGCCGATAATTGTACACAGAGCAAGCATCGGGTTAGTATTCAATTCAATTCACTGTGCTATTACTCACAGAAAACGAAGCAAATGTTTTGTATTCCCCTATTTTGATGTGTGTCTCCATATAACGCTGGCTAGTAATTGGAGAGCTGGTGATAAAAATAAATTTAAAATATGAATTTTGGGTAGTGAATACTAGAAAGTGCAGTTCACTTGATTCACTTTATTATCATATATATATATTCCATATGACTAAATATGAATCGGTTTGTTATATGACCGTAGCATACAAACATTTTATCACAACATATAACCGAGACCACTCACATGCATAAACAATATAACAATATAAATATAGCAATGCAGACTATATTCTTGCTCTTGACAAATTCGTTATATGCGTACCCGTTGTAATAATGAGAGTATTGCACCACGCCTACAGAAATCTTGCCATTTTCGATGTTCAATTTCCGTGTTATATCATTTACCCATTTTTTGACAGTCTGAAAATTATATTTTCCCACAGACGACGATCCATCCAAAACAAATAACACTTCGACATTTGTGATCGGACAACCTTAATGATATGAATTTAAAAATACCTCAAATGAGATGCATTTGAGATATTGTCTGTGGAAAATCAAGCTGGAAATAAAATTTGATGGACTAAATTAAAAACTTGGCTGGACGGTAGTCGTTGTCGTGCTACAGAGAGGCTGATAGCATAACATATCTATGCAACTCCTAATATGCATATAAATTCACTATCCAAACACAATATTAGTGGAAACTATTCTTATAAAAACGAATACACATAAGATTTTAACCTAAATAACATTAAACACGTTACATCTTGTTATATTCCAGAGGCACTGTGAGAATATTTTTCAAGGATGCAGCTCGCTGGCTACATGACGAGTGTTTCCTCGTTTAATGCAAAAATTTTAAAACAATTGCTCGTGAATATTCGTATTTGTGTTGATGTGTCTGTATAATCATAATATAAATGCATATGGAAATTCCATTCTATAATATGAAACTGAACAATTCTATACATGAACAGTTTTCGAATTGCTCGCATATTTTGCGGAAACAGTATTCAAATAACAATAAATAATGCTTACGTAGAATCGCCTTATTCAAGCAGTTTCGATTGATGAAATGATGACTAATACTTGAAAAGGGAATATAATATAATAGGCAAAGTGGGTTGCTGCAATTCAAATCATAAAGAAGGATTCATAAAATCGCTCTAGTCATCTGTTTTACACTGGTATATATATACTAATCATACGTACTTAGTAATTTTATCTGTTTTCCTCTTTTCCATGTTCCATCAAAATTTTTCGATTTATAACAATATCCTGGACTATATCTCAAGTTACCACAATTTTGGGCCCGAGTTATCGAACATGCCTGAAAAAATTTTAAAAAATTCCCAACGATATGAAAATTTCACAATTTCAAAACATGATGTGCCGGATTACATTTTTATTCATCCCAGAATTTGCGGAAAATTTCAGCTTATGATTAGCACCTTGTTTCATGAGGAAATGCCCAATGTTTTACTGTATCCAAACCCATATAACTGGAGCAATTTACTGTAGCGGTCTTTGCTTTGCATGTGGTATAAGCCGTCATGTCGGCTACCCGCTCGGGATAGATATTATTCGTTTGAGCGCAGGTTCGAAGCAATGTAAGTCCATTGGCAAAATACGGAGATTACTTTTACCTGCTTTATAATATAGCTAACGTTAAAATTACCTGTGCGTCTCCCATCGGAGATGTTAGTACGAACATTCCAAAACTATCTCCCATTTTCGGATTTGCGGGATAAGCAGTTTTGCATTGTGGGGCAACCCCTTCAAAAATGGTAGGCTCGATTTTACAAGATAAAATGCTTCCTTCAGCTTCTGTGAAAATGGTTTATTAGATATTGATATTCCAGCAACCGGTGTCGCATGAACTACGTATATGTGTATCTAAGCTATATACAATTACTCCGTTGGAAAAAAAGGATTGAGATTTACTGTTTCGGTCACCGTTATTAGTAAACAATATTATATCAGCACCCAATTATTATTGGCAATTAAAGAGGTATGGCGTGACTCATTCTCTCACCTTGATTTACCCCTGCACTTTTATCCTGTAAAGTAGGTGATAATGGGTCAATCATTTTGGGGGAGCCGATTGTCAATCTATAATAAAAAAAGATAAAACGTGAAAAATTTGTCCAATTATGCATAATACGGCCAGACACATAATACAAGTAAAACAACTCGAATTGTATTCTACCGCTAACAGACAAACAAAACGAAGACATAGCAGCAATTTTCATTTCTTGAATACCCCGTGTAGGCTTTTCGACATAGTTATTTCTAATCCATAGTATTCAGAACTGCATACTGTTCTGTTCCCTACTAAAACATTTCACTTACAAAACTCCATCTGTTTTATCATATTCAGTTTGTGTATATTTAAATGAAATAAAAATTGGTATATATATTTACCGTATATAATAAATTAATCCAGTAATGCAGTATTAGAATGCCACTATATATACTGTTTATACATTCTGGTCCGTGATAATTTCATTGTTAGTTTACCTTATTCTCCCATCTTTTTGTGCATATAGGTTGAAACTGTATCCATAGTACGAACTTTTCGTTGTATTGGGGAGCTGAGGGGGAGTACCGGTTCCCAAGTGCCCCACTACTGGTGATACCATATATGTCGCTGTTTTCTCGCCAAAATCCAAATTGAATCCATGGCTTTTTAAAATTATCATGGAAAGTATTACAGTTTTACATATCAAAATATGATATGGCATATTGCCAGTGATGCGATCCGGTATTTCGATACAATCGTGTCTGAGAATGCCTGGTTCCACGCAGGTAAAGATTGAAAAGAAACTAAATTACTCTGACTCGGTCAACGCTGGCTTAAATATTTATTTTTCGTCCACGTTCATTGTTGTCTATTTCAATCTGTTAATATCACCATACCATATAAAGACACAAAAATGGTTGCCTTCTTATGATCCAAGTTTTCGAATGGAGTGTGAGTCAAAGGGAAGGGCTTTTGAGCGTTACATATGACATTGTATTCAGGCATTGATGTGAAACTGTACAATGTGGAATTTTCCACGTTGCAACGAAATTTCTATACTAAAAATGTTTCCATTCGCTTTGTGGAATTTTAATTTAGATGTTTCCTTGACCGTGCAAACTAGTATAAAGTTGAATAGAGTCATTGTTTAGTCATGGTCTTTCCTACCATAAAACTACTGAACTTTCTGCGACATATCGCAATTCAAACAATTCCACAACAGTTCAGAAAATAGTACAGTCTCGACCTATAAACTGACACGAATTTAAATCGCATTCGACTTTAAGAAGTGAACAATAATAATACGGAAAGCCATTTTCATACGTACTATCAGTTCAAATTAGAGATAGCCGTCGTTTTCCATATTACACGGAATGCCGTCTGTGGCCTCGGCTAAGTATTTATATATGAAAAATGCGATATATATATATGTATGAGATAATTTTTATAACTTATATCGACGATAACATTCCAGGACGCTGGTATTTTAACTCCCAAAACACTTTCGCCAATCAGGAAAAAGATCGCGAAAATAACCCATCGGTTATAGGAATTTCTTTGACGTCCAAAACCAAACAATTTTGAAGTTTTTCACCTCCCTCTTCCATTTCTGTATTTTTTTTTTATTTCACCCCACTCTTTGCAATTCGTAGACATCTCTGTTCTTGTTCTCCCTAATTATTGGACACGTAGTGGACATAGCGATCGTTTCAATATTATGTTGTTGTTGTTGTTTTTTCACACTTTTTGGACACCTAAGGGAAAATCTAAAAAGTCGCTTTTTTCTTTAATTACTGGACCAATTGCTCTGAAATTTTCAGTGGTTACAGATAAAATTTTTCTCCAGAAGGCTATTACTTTTATTTATTTTAAATATTTCTGTTAGCTCTGTGAGATTTGTTTTTGTTTGCTATGACGTCACCAACGTTTTGCGGACATCGACGCCATTTTGTGTCCGACTGTACTGGTTCGCTTGGTGTAAATATATTTGTAGACTGTGATCTGACGGTACGGTAAACCGTACTGTACTGCGAACGTGTCCATATATTCGGCGTAGCTCTCTTGTTTACTTTAATTCGCGTCCAGTCATTATTCTACAACGATACTTGTATATTATCTGGTTGCGCCCTTTCAAATCTCGTTCAGGTGGTTATATCTGGATATTATTTGTATTTGCCTACACATTTTCAAGCCTACATTTTTTCTGTTAATGGATAGTCAGTTTATAGCATCGTTCCGCCAGGAGTCGCCATTAAATTCCACAGCACTATCACTGGGACTGGGAACGGTAACAATTTCATGATATGGCCCTTCTCAAAAAAGGTTTTCTGAATGCGGCCCGAGCAAAAAAAAAACTTTGCACAAAACTGATTTAACCACACGGGCTCTTTGTAGTAACAACAGAAATAGAATCAATTGGACTTAACGACAAAGAGGATTCAATGGGCTTTTGAACTATGCCAAGTGGATAAACAGATGTATTTTTATTGTCTAACTCTCATTTCATATTACTTATGAAAAGTAAGGTATTGTAATATACAATGTTTCCAATAGTATATGTATTCTACATAAATGATGACTTTATTCTATGACTATTTCTGTTATGCCTAATTTATTGAAAATAAGCTGTACATATTAGCACATTAAATCATGCATTTTATTTTCTAAAAATATATATTTCGTGCAACTTTGCAATTCAAGAATATTTATTTTCGAGTCGAGTGTGTCTTCCGTGGCATTTCATCTGTAAAATAAAGACATTGTTATCAATATGGGTTCCGATGCGTTGAAAAAACGTGTGAATTGTACGCACCTTGGTATATATACGTTGATTTTCAGTCGTAGATGTTAGAAGATTCTCAGAGCCGTAATAATGTTAATGTTCCCGCGCATACCGCATCGCTGACGCTGTTGTAACGCGTATCCAACCATACGAAACACAGCCAACACAAACAACACAGGCATTCTCTCAACCACACACTCTCACACAAGTCAAAAGTTTGCAGATTTTACCGGGTTTATAGCTGTTGACCTTCGCAACCTTTTCTTTACTGGCTTCAGCTTACTGTAAGCTCCGGCTAATCCAACGGCTGCAAATTGCATTTTATAACCAGCAGTTCCAGCACCCCCGCTTGATCCTATATAAAAAGACGTATTTCACTCTATTTTCTTTTATAAATAGCACAGAAGAAGTCGGAAATAAAATGAAACAAATAAAGTAATAAATTGAATACCTTCCAGAACCAATCCACCGATTTCTGCTTGTAACTCTTTTGCAATAGCATCAAGCCCGGCAAAATTCTGTGCCATAAATACGCGATTATCGTCGGCCGCATCTCCATTTGCTATCAGCTAAATTGAAAAATTAGTGTCAAGTCATTACTAAGAATATCTTTTGAATTCATCTTCCACAATAATATGGTGAATAGTATTAATATATATTGCTCATTTCAGATTCTTTTGTCCTTCTATACACACTATTTATTTGAAGTTTTGTTATACTTCAACAATATATTAATTAAAATAACAGTATCGAACGAGAATATATGTATATGTGTAACGCAAGTTTTATTTACTCTTAATTCTGTTCTGTTCACTTTCTTCGCACCACCAACTCCGACGGCGTAGGGTATTACGCCAATATCCCTCAACTTTTCTGCATTCCCAGGTACGTCATCTTTGTCGGATGCTCTGTAAAAAATCTAACTGTACCAATGATCAAAATTGAGGGACATAGATGAGAATTTCCAATAATATTTGTAAAAGAAATCAATTAGGAACCAGTAGCATAAACGCGGGCATGAAATTCAATTTGTGGCTGAACAGTTTGAGTGCCCAAAGCATGTTTTCCTCTTACCGCTGGTGACCCATGCGATGTTAGCAGATTTCAAAGCTATACGGAATACGTTTAGGTGCGAGAGGACTTCTGAAATGAACGATTGGTCGGCTACAACCTTCTCCGTTCATCATGGCGACACTGATGAAATCAGTATCCTGATTCATTCCCAGCAAATTTGTTTACGTTACTTACTTTCCGTCGGTGAGTAAAACCATAACTTGTTTTGTTGTCGGCTTGTTGTAGTTTGGCGTATTCTTGAAATCAACAGCTACCTTTTCCAATGCTTTACCAGTAAATGTCGTGAATCCTTGCAACGTAATTTTATCAACCGCAGACTGTAAAAATCTTAAATTTATTACACATTTTTACTATAAATTAGTTCTACTTGCATGTCTTCTAAAGTCCTGAACACTCGTCAGATTTTTGAAATATTGTCTTAGCATGGAAGTGCACGATTTCCCAAAAGAGACTTTCAGTCCTCTTGAATTAGTCCAGACAGGATTTTTCATAAAAAAATTCATAATGCAATATAATTATTATTGCATGTGTTAATAGTTTTACTCTTTTGTGCAATCAGATACAACAGTAATCGGGTATATTTTTATCTTTCCCTCTTGCCATTACGTAAAACTTATTCATATTCTTATTAATAAACCTATTCATTCAGAACTAACACATAGTTTGCATAGCACCCTGCAGACGAACACAAGCAGGTAACCTACGATTTTGGCTATTTAATCAGCCGCTGGAAATGGAATGATGTTTAAGCATGGCCCCCAAAAAATATCACCGAATTAGATTTTGTATGGCTGAGGCAATAGTCCAACGACAGCTTGCCATTTTGACGTTTATCGATATAAATTGTGGGGGTTGAAGTCAGGGTGGAAATATCAGACTTTCAATAGTGATATAGGAATCTTAACAGTCCATCATAGAAGGCTTACATATGACAAAGTTATTCTCATCTAAATTTGGGTTTATCGTTAATTTGGAATAAGAGTCGGAATCAAAAATTTATCAACCTCAAGTCCCTGCAACGACAATAACAACAACTACTCGAGACGGCGGAGGGTCTAACAGACCTTTCTAACATAACCCTCGCGGTAATAAAAACTGCGAATAGAATACGACAGGAAAGATAGGCCCATAAGACGGCTTAATCATATGGTGAACCACAGCCTCTTTTACGGTTACCAGTCCAAGTCGTATATAGGATTATTAGTTATTTGCCAGTTATTTGTTTTCGGAAGCATGGACTTCCGCGATACACGCAAAGTAATTAGCAAAGGAATAGCAACCACGTTTATAAAGACTACCTGACAAGTCGACCAATAATTTAAAATGATGTTTTAAAAATGTTTATGTTTTTTAATTTTTACTGATAATCTGTCCCAAATAGTCCAGCCTGAATTACAACTTTCAGAAAAGATTTAATTTCTGCGAGACTAACTACTCATCCTTCGTCTATGCATTTGAACTGGTGGAACCATAGAAAAGACATGTTATTCTAATTTTTAATGGTTTTTTGAAAAGATTCAAAATAAATTTTTTACAGTTCTATACAAATAAGATAGATATTGATAGTATTTTCGAGTTTTGACTTTGAATTTTTGCCTATTTTTTTTTACTTGATTTGGGTTCAATGCAGGACTAGAAGGTTGCTATGATGGTCACGCTCTGGACTTACGTTTTAAGTAACGTACTCATTGGCTTAGTTAATATAAAATTAAGCAATAAGTTAACGAAAGGCAAGTATCGTGACGGTATTCAGCTTCGTGCAGTGTCTAATTAATTACTTACAGAAAACGCAGCATATGTTTTGTATTCTCCTATTTTGATGTGTGTCACGATCCAAGGCTGGCTGGTAATTGGATATCTGAAAAATAAAATTCGTAAAGAGAATAACCAGAAAATAAAATGTATTGTGATACTATCACAACATATCGAATTTCATATATATAATTTAATTTTAATCGGTTTGCCGCATTCCTGTAGATACGAGATGGTTACAAAAACGTGATGATGCAAAAATATTGAACTCAGTGACCCAGTCTTAAAGTAAACCATTCTCACTCTGCTGGCGGATACTCTTATGTACATACCTATCAGAATAATGAGAGTATTGTACCACGCCTACAGTAACCCCGCCTTTTTCGATGTTCAATTTCCTTGTGATATCATTCACCCATTGTTTGACAGTTACAAAATTGTCTTTTCCCACTGAACTTGATCCATCCAATACAAATAAAACTTCGACATCTGTGGTTGGACAACCTGTTATAAATGTGAAATGATTCATTTAAAACGCATTTTTGGAAAATTAAGCTTTTGTTCAAATAAGATTATGAAAAATGAGAAAGATGAACGATTCTCATTCTGATATTATAAGGTTTTTGATTGCAAGCATATTGTTAATGGAGTTAAACTAGACAAAGGAAGCAGCTTATGAAGGCCAAAATAAAATGCGTACATCATCCTAACAGATTGACTAGTACTTAGCAATAGAATGAACGGAGGGAAGGCTTATGACGCTGAAATCTACACATTGTTCAATTCTGAAGTTTCATCAGATTATAACTGCAAGATTTATAAAAACGCTATAAAGTCATCTATTTTGCACTGACATGTACATAGCCTACATACTCAGTGATTTTGTCTCTTTGTTTTGTTGCCATGTTGAACCAAAATTTGTTGATTTATAACAATATCCGGGACTATATCTCAAATCTCCACAATCTTGTGCCCGAGTTGTTGAACATGCCTAAATAAATAAAATATAAAGATTTCATTTTAAACAATCGATGCGGTATCAATAATTCATGTAAATTGAATACTTCAAAATTGAGGACCGATTGGGGAACAATTATTCTTTGGTGTTATCATGAAATTTTGCGTTCTTGGCCTTCATAGGAGATAAGTGTGTGACTGGAAATTTTATCGTATAAATGATTTACATCTGTAATTTCCGGTGTATTAGTGAATTCAAAGCCATGCATTTGGACCAATTAACTGGTATCACAACAACCAATCTTGGCTGGTAACCAGACCGGCCTGGTTTGCACTGTGACATTAGCTCGTTTTTGAAGTCCCAGGATAGATATTATCATTAGTTTGAAACGTGGGTTTAGAACAATTAAGGTCGATAGGATGAAAACGCAGATTTCTTCACGCTGTTTCATTTATAAAGCTAACATTACAATTAACACACCTGTGCATCTCCCGTGGGAGTTGTTGGTACGAACATTCCAAAACCATCTCCCACTTGCGGATTTGCGGGATGGGCAGGTCTACATTTCGGGGGAACACGTTTAACAAAGGTAGGCTTGACATCACAAGAAAGAATGCTTCCTTTAACCTCTGTAAAAAATTAAAAAAATAAGACTTTGCGACGGCGTCGCATGAACTACATAAGTAGTTATCCGTGATTAAATCAATGTAAAGAATGGACAAGATTAACGTTACTGGGGCACCGATATTAGTCAACAGTACATTGAGTAAAGTACGTCATTGCTATATAATACGATTATATATGGAAATTTTCTACACGCCCTCCTTGTGCGAGTATATACTGTATAAAATAGATAAATGATGTGACTGACGAGGTCTCACCTTGGTTTACCTTTGCGCTCGTGTCCTGTAAACCGGGTAATGCTGGATCAGTCATTTTGGGGGAACCGATTGTCATACTGGAATAAACAAGATAAAACTACATGTAAGATTTGTATAATTACCTGAAATATATATATATAAGAGATAACGACAATTTTTCATTTTTTAGGTTAATTCCTCGAGAGTTTGTTCATACTACAGCATAGTCATCCTGGTCTATGTTATTCTCAATTTGTTCCAATTCTAGCCTTTGAAACTTTCAGTAAACCTTAAAATACTATGTTCCGTGAATTGCCTAGGAAATCATAGCAAATTCTACAATATATTCTAGATGTACAATGTCTAAATCGTACGATCTTTGTACACAAATTTGCCTTTTCTTAATAAATAAAATATTATACTGGATACAATAACTCAATAGTGAAAATTAATATTTTCATAAGAACAGTTCCACTTCGCTCTAATTATGTAAATGAATATGTTATTTCAATATCAGTTTACCTTATGGTCCCATCTTTCTTTGTAAATAAGTTAAAATCGTATCCATAGAACGAACTCTTCGCTGTATTTGGGAGTTGAGGAGGAGTGCCGGACCCCAATTGCTCCACCACAGGTGATACCATGTACCTTGCTGTTTTCTCGTCCAAAGCCAAATTGAATCCATAGATTTTCAAAATTAAACATGCAAATATCAATGATTTACATATCAAAATATTATGTGGCATTTTGCCTGTGTGATCCGTAGATTTCAACCGTCTGTGTCAGCGGGTCCGTGGTATCCACGAATCGTACAATTCCAAATGACTCTTGTTTCGATTGACGTAGGATTACTGTATATCCTTCCCCTTTTTTCTTACTAATTTAGGTCGGAAGTGTCACGTCTTTGTTCTCTATATTAATCTAGGATGCTGCTGATGTAATCATACCATGTATAGACATTCGAGTCTCATCATTGCCTCCGTATGTTCCATTAGTTTCTGGAACGTGAGATAACAAAAATGGATTTGAAGATTAGATTGGACTTTTCCGCCATCAATGACAAACACACCGTTCCCAGTAACAAATAAATACATTCCAAGACCACATGCAATTCTTTTTAATCGAGTTTATACTATTCTAGAAAATTACAACTAATAAATCTGAGGATAGAATAAAGTAATTCGCAATATAATGTGTAATAAATAGAAGCATCAAAACGTCTGAAGCGCATATAATGTAGCACAGTGCTTCCTAATCTTTTTTCAATAAATTCCTCAGCTCGCCTATTTTGGAACTCTTTATTCCTTCCACACTGTCATAAAAACTACTTTTTCAATCTGTAAAGTTTTGATGGTCACAAAACGCACTTGTTTTATGTAGTAGTTAGGGAACGCTCATTTTGATAGTTTAGTGCAGTGGTTCTTGACTGTGGCGAACCTGCCGAACCCCTACTTTATTTTGCAAGCTTTCGCCAAACCCTACCGTTAAAGGGGGAAGTTAATATTGTGCAAGTTTATACAAAAAGAAACCTCATATTGATAGAGCATAAATTTATGACGTTATTGTTGAGCATAGGTAGAGTTTCTAGGTTTAAATTCCAAGGACAAGCATTGTCGAACCACCACCAGTATCCGACTAAGTCTCTTTCTCGGTTGACATATTTCATAAAATACCTCAGATATCGATACACAGTGACGAAATATCTGCCGCAGTATACTTGCTGTGAAAAAGATAACCATACCAGTGGTTACCAGCCGGGGGCCCGTGGTCTGGCAAGAGGACAACAGAACAGTTTAGGGGTCACAATACTACGCGTCAGATTGATTTTAATTCCTTTCCAAATCCTTTAGTTCCGCTAGAATGACCCCACAGCTTATGCCACCAAAAACGTCAAATTTGAGGAGTCGTATTTGGGTATTGTTTCAATTCTTAGTTTTGCATGAGGCGCTCCAACACCGGTTCGTAAAATTGAAAATGTCAAACAAAGTAACAAATTATTGTGCGAATTTTTTCTCAAATTTTACCAAGGGATTATTATTTGGCTAGTAGAATTGCCATTATTGCTGATATATTGAATTAATAATTTGAACTTATTCAGGATTCACGCAATGTTTTTGCCGGGTTTTTATTCACTATTTAATACGACAATAAAACAGGCACGATAGAAAGTAAAATCATAAGAAGATCCACCACCGTCTTCATAGATATCCGCATTCCGGCGTCAGAAATGGTAATATTGTTAGTTTAAAATTGGAACAGGTAATTTACAAACGGTGGGGAGAAAGATCAAAGCCTGCGCAAAAGATAAAAATCGAAATAAAATCCCGAATTCACTCCTTAATAGCTGTCTTTAACATGTGTCGCCGATATGCACGCATAGTTCTCCCAGTATTATAAAGTCAAACTTCGACGTTTGCCGTTGTGTAATAATTGGTAAAAAAAAGAGGACGGGTGGAAACAGCTCATCAACATTAGAATGTCTTGCGTTCTGGATGCCTGTTGTATATATACTAAAAATTTCTAAATATTCGACAATTCGTTAAAATATTCGAATTATTCGATTCAAAAAAATATTCTACGTTTGCCCTCCCTTGCGATCTGTAATCACGCCAGTAATCTGGCGAAACACGTGGTAGTCCAAACACTGATGCAATGAAACTTAATAAAACCCTCATTAAATTTAGTAAATTGCACTTCTTCACGAAAACGTGGTAGAATTGACGATTATTTCATATCTCGAACAAAAAAACGGTTAAACGAATAGTTTCTGCAGACTGAAAAGTCGAATAAGCGTTTCGACATAGTGAATGCTATGATCATTGTCATCAATATATGTTCGGGCCTTGCACGAGGTATCATAACGTGAAAAGATACGTCCAGTGGTTTATAACAACTTTAAACCAATATAGTGTTTTTAGCAATAATAAATAATTGTTGTAATGAAATGCAGTTTACGGTGCCCCTTCCATTCCTCTCGCAAGTGGCGACAATACCACTATTGAATGATTTTGGCAATGGGAGAAGCGTATTGAATTGTACCTGAAAAGAATTAGATTGTGCAAAAGTGAGAATACCTGAGATAATAATAATGGTGTAACGTGGAAGGGCGAGCAAAACCGAAGCGCGATATGAACAAAAAAGGTTGGGAACCGCTGATCTAACTTCTGCGCTCAGAGCGAATTTGAACCTTTGCAGTTGGTTGGCTGCATATCTAACATTCAGGCATCGGTCGAACCTAGTCTACTTATGATGCACGTTTCACTAGATTGCAAGACAATCGTCATAAAGGTATTAAAGACTTATATGGAACGACAGCTACTTTGCTTTCGGCTTACCAAAGTAAATCAAGATGGCCTAGAATCGTGAACAGAGAGCGGACCATGGGTGGCTAGAAGGAGAAAGATACCGGAAGCAAAAATTACAACTCTGGAGATACGGAATGATCTTTTGAAAGAGGATGGCAAGTGAATCCATCACCCAGACATCATATAACCTGGATGCAAGGATCAAAGCATTGTACATTACCTTACGGAAATAGAGATATCATATTACTCATATTAAGGACGAATGATGGTATTTTTCAAGCAAATCTGCTACCATATTCTTTGCTGCGAATTCTAGTATTCAGTGAACTTCAAACACTTCTTGTTCCATATTAATTCATGTATACTTTCTTGATATTCTCAACTTGTGCATTACATTGAGCTACATTTCATTCGTACTTTTCGAATTAGGTGAAGTGCACGCAAATAATGAACTTGAACCCCCGAATTAATTTTCGCTAATTATCGAGGACAAAATCCAATTTCTCTATGATTACTTTTTTCAAAACAACACTTTCATAACAAAAGAAAGATGTTGAAAATCGACACAAGGATATGTACAAAGTCAATGGTCCAATAAGAAGCCGCCAAGAAAGCAGTCCAGGCATTAATAAAAAAGTAAAATCTGATGCAAGATAGCAGCTATTTTGATATTGCCAGGCCACATTTTTACATTAACTGACAAATCTTAAACATTATGTAGCAAAAGCATTGAATATTTTATCAATCTGAACCTGTTATAATAAATTCCGCCGAATTCCATAGTTTGCTACAAATGGGTAGGTTGCTACAAACCCAAATAGGAATAAAATATCGGTATCCCTTATTGACTGTTACTGTAGCGTTTCAAACTAATCCCAAAAAAGTAATCGCCACAGCCACACTAGCATAAAACATTAAAAAAGGTGAAAGTATTTCGTCAATATATACATCCAATAACACTCGATCATACAACAAGGCTGTCCATCTTCCACAATCGCCTATTTTTCCAGCAAAGACCCTTCAATTAAAACTAGCCAGAGGAGGAATTGAGAGTGACCACTAACACAAGCTATAATCTATATATCGGTTTTGTCTTTTCTAAACAGATTCCAGTAGACGAGATTTGAAACTATTCAAGTCAACATTATCAAGAAGTAGTAAATGGGAGGCAATTCCAAAGAGCGAAAACACGTAGGTGATGTGTCTGCAAATTGTCCGATCAAATAATAAAAACTAGACCTAACAAATTGAAATTCTTCACATCATCAAAAATTTTGTCCGAGTAGTGTAAACGTATTAGGAGACTTTACATAGCATTGTGATGCCCTTATAAGCAATTATGCTTTAGGGTATTTTCTTCATCTAGACCTGTGCGAATGTTCTTTTCGTCTTTCATCACGATCTCTGGATCTTTTTCTCTTGTGTTCCCTGGAGCGTGATCTGAACAACATAAGAGAATTCAAGAATGTGACTGTTTCAATTCAATGTGAAGTTTTATATTACAAATAGAGAATATATATCCAAATAAACCAGTATTCAAGAATATTCCCTTTTGAATATCCTGAATGAATTAAAAAGAACGTGAAAAATAATTTTTTTTCATTAATGGAATGTGAAATTTTGCAGAAAACAGTTATCTTCAGTAACTACATTCGTAAAAAAGTATATCTTCCAACAAAGAAGATTTCAGTTTCTCGTGAACACCCAATTCACAGAGTGAACCCTAATGCAATAAAAACGAATAATCAAATAAACGAACCGACTGCGATGCTTATGACTTCTTTTATGTGACCCACTCCTACTTCTTCGTCTTCTTTCCCTATCCCTGAAAAATTAAAAAAAATATTGAAAACCCTGGATTATCTTAGTCGCACTATATAAGTTTAAACAACCTCAAATATATATTTTAAATGACAAAAGCGGGCATCTGCATATCTGTGATAGAAATTTCAGAATATTTTTATATATTCAGCGATATTGATGGGTAAATGAACAATTTAAGGCGCTCAGAAGTGTGTGTAGTGTGTACCAATACAGAGGTAACTAAATTTGCTCGCCTACTTTACACCAAGTTGTGTAAAGGGACTGAAGCCTATTGGCATGGGGTATATTCACTTGGCTGACACAAACAGTCTCGAACTCGTAATAGGACTAAAATAAGGAAAATCGGAATAAAATTATGGCCTAACCCTAACCTGGTACAAACACTACGGGAGTACTGTTTAAAGTCTAAACCTCAAAATTGAATGTATGTACCAGTAATTATATATATTGACAAAAACGGGTATCTGCATATCTATGATAAAAGTTTCAGAATATTTTCGATATATTCAGCAATATTGATATGGAAGTAAACAATTTAAAATATTCATAAGTGAAATACCTCAAAACGATTATGAAACAAATAAATGCAATAGGATAGCGTTTGCATATTCCTTTAGGCTTTAGGCCTCAATAGTTCCAAATAGATAACTCATATGCAGGAAGCATTAAATATGTAACTAAATACCGTTCTGACTTCTGACCATCAAACTTTCATATTAATTTTAATGTTATACATATACATACAGCCCAAGCAATGCAAAAAGAATGGACTTATGTTTATCAGAATCAAAATTTGTATTTTTTTTTGACAAAGAAGAGTTTTATATAAATGTTTCACCTTGAACGACTACGCTTCGATCTTTTATGGTCATTATAATCACGTCTGTCCCTATCTCTGTCATGTGAGCGTCTTCTGGAATGCTTACGATCTTTAGAACGAGATCGTGATTTTTGCCTGCAATATAAAGTATATATATCAGTTAACAAAAGCATTATTCTAAAAATTTGAAAATTTTACTTATCTATCTTATATATTTACAACACGAATATCCTATACCTAATATATTTTGTATGGTTAAATCTATTCAGTGGTTTTTACCCATTCGATTTCCACCGTCTGTACAGACCTGGTCCTCTCCACTTGCTGACTGCGGCTTCGACCTGGATTTTGGTCATAACTGAAATAAATATAAAAATTAAGTAAATTGAACCAATACTTAGTTGAATAGCTTGTCATAATAACAAAAAACTGTTCAAAATGATTCCTCAAGCTCTTAAAAAAAATGAATCCGTGGTTCACAGTAGCAGCAAAGTGAACAACCATCAATCATAGTAGTAATAAATGAAACAGAAATAAAGTTATTATGAATTTTCAACTGTTGACGCCACAGCCCACGAGTAAACTATATTACCAAGACACCTACCTACCTTCTATTTGATTCGTAGTCTCTGTCTTCTACACCTTGACTTTTGCTTCTTGCTTCCCATTTTTGAGTCATCATTCTAGCCTATAAGCAATTCAAATATTGTCATCATACATTATCATTAATAACAAGTCTGTTGACTATATTAATGTAATACAGTAAATCAATCTGTTGTTGATTAATTACAACGGATGAAATGTCAAGTGCCGAACAAGAAGCACATTGAAAAATTAGACAGTGGACTGCTTGCTGTCTCAATTCTGATCACCTTGCACTGGGTAACAGGTTCGAATTTCCATTGGGGAAAACGAAAACTATGATGTGCAAGAAGATTGCTGGTTCATGTAACCACTGATCGATTACAGCAGGGTGTGCAACCTTTAATACAGGAGGGCCAGATACAAATAACTGGGTGAAACTGCGGGCCTTCCCTCTATTTAACATAGGCTTTCTAGTAGTTGCGACGAGCATAAAAATTTAGGTTATTATTCCTATGACATGTGTTGTTAGCTTCGCACAAGCTAGCTGTTCGGGCATTGTAACGTCATAGGCATAGATAATAAATTGGGCCCAGGTTGGAATTACTCGCACGTACCAGATTAAACTAAATTAAAAATTCGTTTCGCAGGCGGCACATCATTGAAAATTGGCACTTCTTCGCGGGCCGCACAATTTTTCTATGTGGGCCACAGGTTGCACACCTGGATTATAGCATCGTCCATGCATCCAAAGGAATAACTGGTTAACTAATACCCAATATGTACCAGTAACCTAATGAGAGGGTGTGGAATGCCATACGCTTAAGCTGTCATACCTCTCCCTGGAATTAATATGGGAATTTTATCATGTCAGACATGTTTTAAACCTGACATGGGCAAACTACGGCCCGTGGGCCAAATCCAGCCCACCTGACGCCGTCACAACCAAACCTAAGCGAAATTTTGATGTTTCAGTTAAAAAAGCTCAAGTAATTTGTTGAGATTGTGATTAAATTTAGTTTTGGCACGAGACTCACTGTTTTCCACTTTTGTTTTTGTAACACTGTAAATATTGTTCATAAAATGTAATTTTTTACAACAACACACTTACAATGGCCCGCCAGTCTAGGTGGGCAAAATTTTTGGCCCCTGGTTCAAAAACCTTGCCCACCCGTGTTTTAACTGTAACAATAAGTAAGTTATTAGACACATGAGCAGTTCACTCAACCTTGTAATTGGAAGAAGACGGACCTTTAACTTTTCATCAATCTGTTTTTGAATCGGTACAGGAATTCTTGGGAAAAGCGTGTCGAACCATTCAAGCTTCGTCAGGAGATTACGAACCATTGTTCCAATTGTCATGAGACACCCACCTCCTGCTTTTGCATCAATTTCCTTCGAAATGTAAAATTATAATTTTGAATGGAATTTTAGCATAAAAATGGCGAGACAGCTATTCAGAGACAAATATTGCATTATCTAGATTGAATGTTTTTTGAGGATTGTCTATAACTTCGCTATGCCCCTTTACTTTTGAATGTGTAAACATGGGCTTGCCTTGAGCAAATACTTTTGAAATAGGTTCTGAAGATACAGAATCCTCCAGATTAATCCAGAAGGTCATTAAAGTAACATTATTATGCTTACGTCTTACGCTAAATAAAGCCCAAGTCTAATCCTTTCTTTCCAGGTTGGGTTAGCTCGAATTACCACTCTTCTAACAGATTACCGTATGTTCGCTAATTTCAGTAACTAGCTATACAAAAATATCTCACATCAGCCACCCGCAAATGTGTTTTATCATTTTCCCTTTTTTTAAAATAAATCTCATTTTCTAAATTACTTACAAAGGATAATATCAGGGATTGCCATTCTGTAGGATCCTCATGGTTATAATTGACAAAAATGATTAAAGTGATACCAGAAAAAGATGTAATAATGGGCAATAAGGTCACTCACCTCTTCATCTTCAAAATAAGGTTCGAACCATGAATAAAGATCTTTTGGTGGTTGGCAGTATCTGAAATATGGTGTTAGAATAGTGTTAGAATACAGTTTTACAATAGTAATTTTTACAAAAATTTAGATTTGTTGATGCTTCCAAGACATTCTTACTTACAATCTCTCCAAGGCTATAAAGTGTCAATCCCATACCCAAGCATACCAATACAATTACAAAATTATTCCAAGTGTTTCTTAATTAATACTTAAATTTTCTGAACAACCCAACTTACAACATCATTACAACTTACAACATCATTACAACACTCAACAACTCAACATTATCCAGTTGAGCAAATTATTTATTTTGAAGAAGAATTTAAGGGTCTTACCTCCCAAACGTACCTGATGTACATAAAACCGAGGCCTCTAATGTACGGTGAATCAGTGTGATTTAACATTCCATTCAACTGTTTTCTTGTCAACTTTAGTGTGAAAAGTTTATATAAAATACAATAGGAAGTAGAGACAATTCCACCAGTGCCGACACCTCGAACCTAAAAAGCATTCAAATTAGCGATCTTTCCATATGAATACAAAGGTTATTTTTTAACAAACCCTTGGGATTTTTAAAATTAACAAAACACGAGAATTATGATATCAAAGGTTTCAAAACAAAAAGACAAATGTGTTAATTTTGAGAAAATTTCATTTGAAAATATTACAAAGATGTCGGTGATAACTATTTGAAGCCATATTTACCAAATTGAAAAAAAAGTTAAGAAAATTTCAAAATGAAAAATATACGTTGTTCTCAAAGCACTGTTTTTCAAGTTTCGCCATTTAGGGTTGAACCCCTCAATATGGATTCTGGCAGAATAGACACAACTATTTGATGGTCATTATATCAAGGTACCGGTACCTAAAAAGGTAAATCAGGCAGAGACGCGGAAGAAGAGCTGACCCTTTTTCTCTATTCTTTAGGCCTAAATGTTTACAAACTTCAAAAGGCATAAAATTCGCATCAACGATCACAAAATTGGGTTTTACCTAAAAGCTGTGTTTTTTCATGTAAGAGCGCCGTGTTTTTTTTCTCTAATAATTTTACGCCGCACGAACAAAAAGTTAAGCAATCGCTGGTCTAATACATTGAGATTATACTGTTATTAATACTTTAAGTGACTTATATAAATTCGATTGTGCTTTTCATTGAAAACCAAGAACCTAGCACAAGTTATTATAATCAAAAATCCATTTGCCTTAAACTATATGACATGTAGTACTAGTAGAAGTAGTAGTTCCATACTTCAAATAAGACTATGGAGTAGTATTGGATCAAATATGAAAAAATTTAATATACACATTAGCAACCAACTGTTTTACTTAATTGACTTACGCCACCACACATTCCAGTTTGACCTGCAGTTTTTCGACTTCCTCTTTCCCAAGGTTCTAGATTATCAATCTGAAATATTAATTGATAAACTTGATTAAGCATTATGTCTTGATGAAGCAATGAAGTTAATAATAAAAACAGCCAATTTCACGGTGTGGCCTCAGATCAAACCCAATATATGAATATATGGTAAATTAGAATTAAGGATAGGATTTACATATTTATCCCCTTTGGAGAGGGGGTAGGGGGAAAGCAGACAAGACAAACCACGGCATCTCGTCCGCTCACCAGTCCATGTTGTGAAGTTCAACGCTTATCCCGATGCGCCACATAATGACATAGCCAAGCCCAATTATTTTGTTAATGTTTAAATGTTCGTTGATTAATGTTTGCACCCATTTTTGTGGAGTGAATAGATTAGAAGATATAAGGAATGCCTATGAAAACTGCTAAAACCACAATAGGACGCAATTTAGTCAAGATATTACTGTATTAACTGACAGAAGACAACCACTGCATGATGGTCAAAACCAAAATATTTTAGCACCGGTACCAGAACTGCAGTAGGGTACCGTACAGTACGGCACAACCAGAAATAAAATATAAATATATAAAAGTATAAACAGTCACCTTGTAATAAATTTCATCAATAACTTCATGATATGTCTTAAGCTCGTAAAGTTTAACTTTGAAGTATGGTGATGCTTGTATGTTTGTCAATATCAAGTTATTAATGTTCATAGTTCGTGGATTACCCCAAACTGGTAAGTTGTTTCCTAATTTCGGCTTCGCCTCCGCATATTCGCTTTGATCTTGCTCTTCGTCATAGCCTTCATCTCCTCCATACGCATTGTCCATTTTAGGTTTTCACTTAGATGGTACACTATTTTTTATGGTTCCACAATGAGGATTATTCAATAATAAATGGTACAATAAGACAATTCCCATACAAAATCCCATTAATGTTCAGACTAATTAGAAAACTTCAGCGAAATGTGCAAAAACAGCCGCGAGCGATTGAATTCACGAAAGCAGCTTGCTTGACGTCGGTAAATCGTTTTGGCCATCCACAAGGCGGCTGACGGCTAGCTCGTCACGGCGGCTAACTAGACATGGTTTAATATATTTATACCCACTACCCACTACTGAAGGTAAATAACTACTTCACCCCCTATCCTTTCTTCCGGTAAATACAAGAAAAGCCTTACTAAATTTTTAACTAACGCCAAAGACTAGTTGTCTATGTCGAGTTAGCCGCCGTGGCAAAGTGCCTATACATAACAAGGCCGGTGTGGCGCAAAGTAGTAGGGGAAGGTGGGGTACGTTGGGACATGGGGCACAGTGGAAAATCAGCTATCACACTGATACTATATCCGCAATCCTGTCCGCGGCTCGATGTTCCAATCCGCCCTTCGGTGAGTTACAACGTCCCCGCGAACGGACAACGGACGGGTAGAGCGGCGCAAGCTATGGGGTGAAATTGGTTTTGGGAGGTTGAAAAAAAAATTTCACCGTTCCAGTTTTTTCTTTTTTTTAGTTTAGCCTTTCCAACGAGACAAACCATCGTCTGATATTCTTTAGCGTCAGTCCACTGTAAAATATTCCTAACGTTAGCGATTGGCTGTGCCTTCCGAATTTTGCCGTGGGATGGTCTGAAAGTATTTGTTTCCTATGGGGAACAATGGACCGGTGTTCAGTGGGACATGCTCTACAGGGCATAATTCGACAGTGTTTGATACAATAAGTGCTTAGAGACTTAGAGATGCGTTATATTTTGTGTAATATAATGGTTTCTTTCGACCCATGGCCCAATATGGAATATATTCGAGAATCAATAATATTTCCAGATTTAGATTCGAGGAAGGAAATAATCAAATTTTTTTGCCAAATGTTTTATCAAAATATCTGAACTATTTCAGTTGAACATTGATTTTAAAAATATTAAATCTTCAAATTCGAAGTCTCCCCGTACTTTAGACGATTATGCTGATTAACTGCTTATTTTTAAGGGCATACTTCGTTGAATTTTGACAGACTGACCCATTGTGCCCCAGGGTCTGTCCGATTGTGCCCCACAAGTGGGGTACAGTGGGGCACTTGACAGACGTTTTTCAAAGCATTTTGGTAGTAAGATGTGTGTCGCAAGGGAATTTCTTTGTTGCTGAATAAAAACTACATTTACCCCTCTATGCATTAGTCCCGCAAACTTAAGAGAATATGCAGAATTAACGGCTCAAAATATGCAAAAGAAAAAAAGTGTCCCAACCTTCCCCACTTTCCCCTACAATTGTGAAGTTCATCAATTTTTTCGGAATTTATTCGCTGTTTAAGGTGCTGTGTTTTTGATAAACTAATCAGTTATAAAAATGTATGTAAAGTTCGTTATCGTCGGCGCATATGCCATTTCGTGCTTTGTGGCAAGCGCTATAACGTGTTCGTGAAATTGTAGTGACGAACTGTTTGTATGAGGTAGCCAGGAAGGGGTTAGGGTTAACATATGCAAAAATGTTTCTGCCCGCCAACTAGAAGTACCTACGGCGTTTAGTGAACATGCGACAATTTGTATATTTGCAGTATTGTTAATTTGTAATTCAAAGGCAAATTTATTGATTATAGATGTAGCCTACTTGAAGCTTTCACACAGCGATGATGTTACCTGTGTTTAAATAGTTGAATGCTACAATTTCGATTTTAAACATGTAAAAAACGAGACTCTAATCATTGTAATTTGAAAAATATGTAAATTTTTCGAGTGACTATTTTTTCGTATGAACACATTTCCAGGCGTGTATGTGTATTTGAGTGTATTTCTATAGCAAATGTCTTGCTAGTAGTTGTAATGCGTGGTAGTACAGTACTGACGATAATATCTGTTGTTTCATTAGAATTTTTTTTGGAGGGAGGATAAATCTATTTATGTGGACTCCATAATAAGCATAATAAATAATAAGATTACGGATAAATATAGTACAAAGTGATTAAAGAATCAGGAACATTAAATAGGGGATAGCAGGGGTGGGCAACCTTTTTCGTCTCGCGTGCCAAAATCGTCTAAATTTGACCACAAAATTCTTCCGCATGCCGACCGGAATTAAAAACAATGCTTTGCTACTTTCAAAGCAAAAATACACAATAATAGATTCACTATTCGGGAAATATCAGTCCGACAAATATATTTGATTACTTTTCCTGTTATATATCAGTGAGACTTCTGCTGCTGCATTACCGCTGATAGAGATTTTACATTGGGTTTATATTTTTTAAGTTTCAAAAAAATACACGAACAGCTGGTTTCATCTTTCAGGCTACTCCTGTTACGAGACTTAATAAAGTTCATAACAGAGATTCACAAGCATATGTAGATGAAAACATGGATAGTAATGCAGTTGCAAAGTTTTTAGGATGTGAAAAATTTTCGGAAATGGCATCCCAATCACGCAATAGTTCGTTTTCTGCACTTCTCTCTTGTATTCCCTTCCCTAATTGCTTATATTTTTTTCGAAATCAGTTTATAACAGTAAGTTAGCAAATAGCTCCAACCAACATCAGCTGTACAACTTCATAAATCAATCAAGAAAGAAAAAGGATGGCACAGACAATGTACGTAACAATGTAGCCAAATTGTTCCTCTCGACAAAATTCGTCGAGAGCTCACTAAGTTGTTACGTCATAATATATTTCTTTCTAGCCATATGTCATGAAAAGACAAAACGAGTTCGAATAAATAACGAATTGTTAAGAAACGATAATGAATAAACGAACTCCAGGTTTCATCACATAATCTCGAGTCTCGAAACATTTTATCTGAAAGAGAATGATCTCGTTTCTGAGGCCTAGCTGGCGTGCCAGGGGTTGCCCACCCTGTCTTATAATATCAAGTGGGCGATGTTGTAAAAATATTTAATTTCCCGATCTTTCAAACCTAATTTCGATATTAGACCCAGTTTTGCTTCCCGGGGCGTCCTTCCTCGAGCAAGATTTGCTTTTTTCCTAATTTTGTATGCTATCATTTCCTATTTCAGTGGCTTCGAAAACAAAATGAGTATGTATGTATGAGAGAATAAATAAACTTTACAATCATATGGGTGGGTGAGCGAACACGCACTACTTCTTTTATCAATACCTTTCCATCTAAAATCTGTACGTTTCAAACCTTACTCTAGGTTTTGTTCGCTTTCCCGATTCTATAATCAGTTACTTTTATCTATTTTTTTTATCGTCTATTGCTGATTATGGAGTCGAAATAAACTTATACTTATTATTACAGAGTGCGGATTTCAGTGAATCTAATTTTACTGTCGTGTGTGAGCATGTTTCTACTTCTATAGGATAATTCGACATGCACATTTTAAGCTTTATTACCAGTTTATTTGCTTCCGTCGGTCATGCTTTCATATTTAATATATTGGTGATAACCAGGGTTGCTATTGATATGAACCACAATAAGATAACAAAGAACGAAATGTAACAGACAAAATGTATACATGCCAGCCCGACCCATGTCTAATCATACTTTGCACTAGCAAGGATTTGCACCAGCAGTTCTTTATTCTTAGAAACTATCTGTTTCATCACACTACTAAGTTCACTTAAACAATCAATTAGGTTCTAAAATATCATTTGAATTGACCAATCTGAGTGCCCGGTATTAGAACCTATAAAATGAAACAAAAATAAGGACACATGTTGAAATAAGGATGTTTCTTAGGAAGAAAGGACGTTATGGCAGCCTTGGTGATGACCATGAGGGCATATCATATGTATGAATGTGTAATTTCAATAGTGAAAAGTTATTGGCCATCCAATTTAATTGAGATTGTTTCGTTTTCGTCGCATTGGGCAAATGCATATCGTTGATACCATAATCTCAACTCCAGCTAAGTATCAAAAATGGAGAAACTAACCCAGCAGTGCATAGGAACAGATGGTGATTGAAGTCGAGTATTGTTTTTGTTTTGATATACAGTTTCTTTTATATGTATAAAACAACAGAATTCGAACATCTAGCGCAAACAAGATGAAGGTACTCAATTATAGTATCAAAACTGTTCTACAATTGTTATAAACATGAAGAGGACAGCTCTATTTTCCTCAACATTTACTTGATGTACACCGAACACAAACAACAATATTTCCCACCATAAGGAACATCGTTGAGGAACTTGAAAAAAGCATCAATTTAAAAAATATACAACAATAAGACTTCAAGATGTCATTGTTCATCATGAATCTTTGTTAATCCGATATTTTCCTCCCTCTATGGATAGAAGCCCAGACTGAACGCGACTGTTTAGAAATATTCTTAGTTTTGGTTGATCGAGTTTCATTGTAGAATCTTGCATTGCGAACATCTTCAACATTTTATGTATGCGATCGAGAGGTAGCGATTCAAAATTCATTAACATCCCTTGCACGTAGTTCCATAATACCTGAAAATATTGAAAAACATTAAACACATGATCATTGGAATTATAGAAGTTATCATTCAATTTAGGGTACTCCGGGAGTATGCGCACAAAATGCCGAACAACCTGAACCCTAACCTGGTACACAACCTGAGTTCAGGTTGTGCGCCATCTTGGTGCGCATACTTCAGGAGGTCCCAATTTAGTTTTCTGAACGCGTCCTTGGATTACTGTAATCGGAATACTGGTTGCTGAATTACAATGAGGAGCATGCTCGGATTTGAAAGCGGGAAATTGAAATTTGCTTTTTCGTTCAAATATTAGATGACATTTAAAAGCCAATCTCTTGTCTTCTTTAATTTGTCTTTTGCTAGCTTGGGGGTTATCCATAATATTGGGTCAAAACCAAGGGGTAGAAAAATTATTTCACTGTATCGCACTGATATGCTACTGTTCCTCTGTTCATCCTGTCCCGCCAGACCAAGGTTACGAAAACTTACAGGATCATGTTCTTATTAAAATGAATAAAAAAAATATACTGATTTTTATGTAGGGTCGCGACTCGCGAATACCTATAATCTTAAATTTTACGAAAATTGGGGGCGCAGGAAAATTTTGGGAGCCACTGCTCATAGATAGCATCTGCTTGAAACCATGATCATCGATTAATGCTCCGCTTGCTGCATAACGAGTACAAGATCAACTACCTGTTTTGAATCTTACCTGTTCTTGCTGTTTTTGTTTCAAGTCATCAGCTTTTGTATCTTCTTCTTCCTCATCTTCCTCAAGTAAATTTGCAAGGTCGTTTTTAGTAGCAGCTGAATTTTGGGGCATTGATCCAACTGGCTGCTCTTCTATGATTGAGTAAGTGTCAGGAGCAGTCTCTCTGCAAATGAAATCATGCTTAGAGCAGCAAATTAATTGCATGGCGAAGTTTTATGGAGCAATGACTGTTGAATATATTTCTTCAGTAGCACACATGCATGTGGTGGTATAAAACAAGGTATTTGGCCCAGGTGCCCATTTTGCCCATCTAGATTGCTGGGCCATGTTAGTGTGACTTCAAATTTACATTTTATGGACAATATTTACAGTGTTACAAAAGCAAAAGTGGAAAACAATAAGCCTCGTGCCAAAACTTAATTTAATCGCAATCTCAACAAATTCCTTGAACTATTTTTAGCTAAAACATCAAAATTTGGTTTCAGTTTGGTTGTGGCAGCATCAGGGGGGCCAGATTGAATTACCCAACAGGTTGTATTTGCCCCGTGGGCCGTACCTTGCCCATGTCAGGTACATAATCTAATCAGTTCTAAAAATATAGCTTGCCTTAAGAAAATGACAGTGCACAAATTGCTGTGCACAAGTTGTGCTTTCATGTAGTGTATCCAGGTATCATTATTATTGGCAATTTGGAGCTGGTTAATTCATACACACTTTACATAAAGTTGTGTAACGGGTCTGAAACCTATGGGCAGGGGGTATATTCACATGGCTAACACAGACAGTCCGCGAACTCGTAATAGAACTGAAATATGGAAAATCGGAATGAAATTATGACCTCATCCTAACCTGGTACACGTACTACAGGAGTACAGAAGGAAATGCTCGCTAGTCAAGGCTTTCGCAAAACTCAAAACAACAGGCAATGCTAATAGAAAGTTGACATACTTAAGAATGCCTTGTTGTAACCAATAAACAATTTTTCTCTTCAACACTGTTGCAGAAACTTTCACTTCATTGCTTATTTCTTCCAGAGTCCATGTTTCTAGGAATTAAAAAAAAAATATTCCAAAATTAGGTAAACAAAAAATCACTCACACGAGAGTGCAAATAAACTGTACGAATAAACAATATCCCCTGGGCAACGCTTTCGTTCTCTACTTTAAAAATGTTTACGTTAGTTAACATAAAAATTAAATACCTTTGTCATGAAATAGAGAAATTATTGATGCCAGTAACACAGTGACTTGAAATTGTAGGGTTCTATCTTTCAATTCAAGTTCAATATCAACACGACCAGCACTGTGAATCCATTTCAATGATCTTGATGCCTGTAGCAGAATAATATACAAGAATAATCACATTATCAGGGTTTTCAGGAAGGCCACCTAGACTTTCTGTGAAACACCGTATGTGGCATCTAAAGCATTGTGAGTAAAACAAGGATATCAAAATAAGGCCACATGTATATTACCACATGTTTGTACTTGATGCAGATATGATTGAAGATAAATTTGATTATTGACAATACACTAAGAATAAAAGAATTGTTATAAAAAGACCAATTTTTCAATAAATAGAAACATATTTACACAGTTCACATTTATTACAATACCTTATGTGACTCGTATCCTTTATTGAAATTATCAAGTGCACTTTGTATAGCCGAAGGTAGATTTATATCATGTGATTGAAATGCTGGTGCAGGCCAATATTCCGAGGATACTATCAGAGTACTTACATCAAGCTTATTTTCAACCTTGATAGAATGATAAAATTGTCTTGTTAAAGTTTCTGAATATGCTTGTTAAAAACATTCGTAAAATTAAATTAAAAGTACAGTTTATATTTTTATATCAATTTCTTTGGCGGTGTGGCGCATTGTGCTAAGTGTTAGGAATACGCTCGCCACCACACCTCTGATTACCCTTCGTGGGTTCGAATCCCATGTTGGGATAGTTATGCGCGAGAGAATAGCTGGACTCCTCGCCACCATAGGGTAGTTCACGTAATCGCTGGTCGGTTACGGCTTTCTCCACCATGAAGTCCATGCTGCCGACAACAAATAACTGGCTAACTCATTCCATACCAGACAGGGACTAGTAACATGAAGAGAGGCCCTGGTTGGCCATATGATTAAGTCGTCTCATCGGCTTTCCCATCCCCCGGGATAAATATGTAAATCCCAACCTAATTTATTTTGGTATTGAATGTCATAATTTACCATTTGCTTTTTGTACCTCCATATACTGATAAGAAATTTTGGGAAATAATTATACAAGTACAATTCTGTAAATAAAAGTTTTAGAAATAACTGAATTTCTTTTTCCAATATGCCAAACATAAGGAGAAACCAACAGTTTGCATATAGCCTTGAGCACCAGAATATATTTCCCACAATTACACTAATCACGCAACAGGAATCTTTCAGACTTGAATCCCATTGATACAATCATGTGCAAGAGAATGGATGTACTTCTTAGCTGTATTTGGGTGGTTATCACTTCCTCCGTCAACATTGTCTAATTCAAGTAGCTCATGAATTTTATATCAAACTAGTAGTGGTAAGCAGCCATGGTTTGCCATATGACAAAACTGTAATGTTTTCACACAGCCAACTCGATTATAAAAAATCTATTCTAAGCTTTTCCATACAACCTATATAGAAGATTCAAATACAAACTGCGAACACAATCAATGTTATAAGGAAACTTACCGGAACTTCACTCTTTTTAGAATACTCATCTTTGACATAAGTGTTGATCCGACGACTGTCTGCTACATCCTGATAAATAATATAGATTTTATTGAAATATAATTTGGGTGACAAAATGGCCTAGCGATTGAAGCATTGTGGTTAACTGTGTTGGCATTAGAGATCTCATATCTTATTTTCAAATCCCATGCCCCCACCTCATCCAGGGTGCAATAAATTGGATAGGCAATGCCGAAATGGCAAAATTCTATTCTTTCCAACAGTGGTAGTTTGTACAGGGCTTTGTTTGGAGCAAAAGGTTTGAATAGGTTTGAAGGAAAACATATTGATAGATTTATGAGAATTTATTGTACGAACCTTTAACATGACAGCACATTTACCCATGTCTTCTTCTCCAAATCTTAATTTTAATAGTTCAAGGTTTTTGATTTCTGCATCTTCACTGGTGTTTGAGCACCAGTTGGAAAGCAATCTACGACTCAATAATTCTTGATATTCTTCAATGAAACAAGTTGTGCTCCCGTACATTCCAACAAGTAATGATATAATGTCTGACGTTCGTCTCGATTTGTCTGCCTTATCTATAAAACAGAGATTTTGAAGGTGGGAATAGCGAACTGACAACTAAAAATCTCATTTCACATCAAAATTACAGTGTTTGTTCTAGCAATATGCCAGAACAGAATAGATCGGTTTTCGTAAACTGGGGTACACGGAGGAGTACGAGAAATAGCTTCAGGGGAAAGGGAAGGAATATATTTGTCCTAAAGCCAGAAGTTGATGTTCCTGTTGAGGGCATACAATAACATCCATCTCATTGAAGATTGAATGGAGGTTTCGTCCATTTTTTACTGTTTAAAATTTTTTAGTCTGGGCTGCCGAAGGGTCAGCACAAACCAAAAAAATATATTAGGGGTCTATGCGAAAATAAGTGTAGAGCCCCTGTAATAGTTTCAGTATTATGGACTAAAGTAAATTATTTTAAAAATATTCTTAATTTAGAAATTATTAAATTATTGAATTGTCAATTCATAATATATAAAAATAGTAAAATTATTTGATTCCATTTGATATATAATTGTGCAATATATCCAGTGAGCGATTACCCCCATCCCCCATATAAGAAAGGCAAATAGTTATAATCTGTAAATACATGCAAATCTTTCTCATGCAATTTGTTATTGTTAAACTCCTATATGTCTATGATTTGAACCCCTATTTCAGGGATGGCGAACCTTTTTTAATGGATGGGTCAAAAATTATATTTTTATCACGGAACAGAAGAGTGTGGGTCACAGGTATTTTATCACTGCATGAATCTATAAGAAACTTCCGAAATTTTATAAGCTTCGGTTAGTGCATATGAATTACCAAAAACGTTTAGGATGATGCGGCAAATTAACTTACGGTTCCTAAGAGTTTGGAGGGAACTTCACTCTGATAGTGTTATATTTTTCGATCAGCTTTCAACCACATTAAGGCACTCTCACTGCTCCATTGTTATTCCAGATCTCTAAGTTTTTATTTCAAGTCTGAAAGATTTTGTTTTCTCAACGGCATTGTAAGCGAGAAACTAATAAAATGCAAAGTAGCATCTAGTTCTCATATAACCCCTAAAGCAGTCGGCAGATGCACTTCCAAAAGAGACAAGACGTTGCGCAAAATGAACAGATTGCATTATTATGTCATAAACGATGTCAGAGCCAATAGCTCATTAGTTCTCAAACTAGAGTACGCGGTCGCTTAGTGGTCGGCGAAGCAATTTCAGGGGGACCGCTAGACAACTTTAACCACGACACAGAAGCACTTTGATTTGAAAATTTTGATGTCATGCTTTTACAGTATTTCTCCAAAGCATGACACGGTCTACCGAAGACATTCTTACGTAACAAACGTTAGTGAACGTGGCAAGTACCGCAAATCAGAGAGTATTGTTCATGGAAGGCGTTGTGTGATTGTAAATTTTCTCGGGGTAATTTAAAAATGCCGCCCGCCATAAAAAATAAATTAAAAAAAACGATTCATATTTGGCTTTGCTGTGATAATTTCTAGGAAAAAAGAAAAATCATAGTGGCACCGTGCTATCCCGATGTCGCTAAGATGGCACTAAAAGTGCTCTTTCTATTTGCAACAACCTTCGAGGCAGCTTTTTCTACGTTACTCGCTATCCAAAACAGAACCCAAAGTAGAAGAACTACATGGGAGCAAAGCAAGCGCCCCCATCTCGTTGAACGGTTTTAATGTCATTCAATGCTTGACATACGGCGTTGCTATTTGCTTTCATTTTTTTAGTGGACCGCGAGTCATCAAAAAAATTGCAAAAGGACCGTTATGCATAATTGTTAAAAAAGTTTGAAAACCACTGCAATAGCTGAATAACGAACGGTACACAGCGACAGCGGACACTGCAGACATACGTCCAAGATTAGGGGTTCTGAAAATTACCATACCGGCCCTGAAATTAACAATTTGAATATGATCGATCGCAGCCCTGACTGCCCAACTGACAGTACATTATAATAGTTTAGTTATCGTTTGATTAATTTAAGGTCGGTTTTATCAATTTTCCTCACTGATATGTTAGTATTTTATTCGTACCTTGGCAGGTCACGAATAAAACGCGGTGGGTCAGTGGTTCGCCATCCCTGCCCTATTTGTTCATAAGTCCTGGCATAATTCTCAAAAAAATTTTCCAGCAAGAAAAATGAATGTTCAATTTTGATAATCAGGAATAAAAAAGACAAAATCTGCAGGCAACAAACCTGGATCCGCTTCCCTTGGATCTGGAACCCACTTCTTATATCGCTTTGTGACTTCAACAAAATTTGAATCAGCAGAAGCTGTGGCACTTATGGGTGCCACGATATCTGCTTCACTGGTGCCACGAGCTAATTCAATTGCTAAATCGTTATCACGATCTTCATCCAATAGAGCAGCCATAATCTTTTTCACAGTGTCATCTCGTTCCCTGAAAAGTAGAAAAAGTCATCTTAATATTTTAATATTATATAATACTATAAAAACAGCCACATCTAATAGATGTTATAATATTAAAATTATTTGAAGAGTACCTCAACTGGTTACAACCGATCAACATTTACCTGGCCACTAAATTGAAAATGGTTAAACTATTTTTATATCCAGTTGTCAAAATTGAATCAAATATCTGTATACTGTTCTTTCAGTTTATTTGCAATACTTCACGTCATTTCTCTTTATTAAGGCAACCTATCACTCTTAATTAAATAATGTTCTACTATGCCCTTCCATCAAACATGATATTCAGTATTAAATGCTCAAAAATATATTTATAAATATACATACATAAGAAATACGGAAACATTGAATAATTCGGTTTTGCACATCACTGCTTTGAGCAATTCCATTTCCCCTAACTGAAGTGAATAATATTAATAAGTCAAAGCCTTTTTTTCAAGATGTATTACTGATAATACACTTCAAACCGCTGTCTAAATTTTTACTGCAATAAATTGTCTTGAAATAAAAATTTTAGATGGTAATTACATGCATTAATAGTATGCTGAACCATTTAAACCAGTGGTCGGCAACCTTTTTTCGGTGACAGACCGGTAAAGCCTGACCAGAATTTTGGGTTAAACCAAAGGTGTCCACCATTTTTTTTCGGTGGGCCATATAATAAACTTCAGACATCAAGCTGGGTCACACAAAAAATTTAGCAATGAAAGGCAAGAGGAGAGAATAAAGTTATCGCTTAGCCATACAATAATGAATGCACCAGGCAAACGGCAAAAGATTTAATGCAGCAACAAGTGAGCACCTTTTCAAGGGATGGGATTTTATGCTTGATGGGGAAAAATCTGAGTGTTGACAAGGACAAGGCTTGGCGAGCCGGGTTGTGGCCCGCGGGCCGCCTGTTGCCCCTGATTTAAACCCTTCAGCCATTTTCCCCCACCCCCCCTTAATATTACTTACTTTAAATATTTAGTATATCCTTCCAGTACGATTTCCATCACAACACCACTGGGATCAAGTAACCGTAATGCTTTCACTGCACTGATATACATTGTAATTATGTCCTCTGTACAGACCCCTGGAAATTAATAAAACAGGACAATTAATCAATACCACTAATAGTATTCATCTTTTAAAAATACATCTTCCAATTCTCAATTTTGATTAAACTTTACGAATTCCCCTAGAGAATAAAATAAATATTTTTAAATTAATGCACTTTGATCCATAAGAAACGAGTCGAAAAATTTATGGAGAAATTATAAATTCTAGAGAATATATTTGATAATTACCTGGATGCAAAACTCTATTTGACAAATCTTTTTTCAAAGTCTTGATCAAAAAAGGACGTTGATTTGTTCGTTCCAAACATAACTTGAGATCTTCTATTGCTGGCGAGCTTTCAGGGAATTCTGAAATAGGAGAAGACAACATTATAGACACTTATTCACCCCTTTGGCTCCAAACAAGGCTCTGTAAGAGCTTCCACTAGCGATATGTAAGATGCTACTATATTTTCGAGAAACGGAATTCTTTTGATTCGGCACTGCCTAATGTAGTCGACCCTGGGTGTAGGTGACGGGCATGAGATTTGAATTTGAGATGTGTAATCTACAATGCAGATGACCAATCCCAGGTAGCCTCAATAATACTCTCTTTGGTGTCACATATGACAATACATACATATTACTCATTTGGACAGTCGTGATTTTGTTGTAATATTATTCAACTTTTCCTACCATAGTTATTTTAAGTTTAATAAGGCAGAAGTCGCCACCTTAATTTCCCAAGCCATCACACTCACTATATAAATCTATTTTAAATTAATGCAACTTATATTTTTATTTTCTATCACAGTCTTAAAATGTTGAACTTCAAATAGGTACTGGAATATTATGCAAAATTTTAAAGAATAGAATATTTAACTTCACTTTAATTATTTAGAATTCATCATTTTATCATAATTGTTTTTCTGATCATTGTGCATGAAGTGTTTGCGTCTCGATTATCCGGCATTTAGGTACTTATGTGCAAGCATTTCTAAACTAAAATTTTTTAGTGTCAGTTGTTCTTGGCACTTTTGTGGTCAACAAAGACTTTGGGCAGATGACAGAGAAGAGTCTCCTTTATTTCTAAGTGCTTTGCTTTAGACAAATTTTGTTGAAAAAATAGGTACTTTAAAAATAGATTTTTCAATACCCATTTAAACTCGATATAACGATAAAACAAATTCCAGATATTTATTTTCATTATCTTACCTGTAATAATTCGAAACATTTCACTAATTCTCATTTCTGTATACGTTTCATACAGAATAAACAATAATTTTTGATTCCAACGATTTTTTGAGTAACTTGCTGTTTTACTCCGACCTCCAATTTCACACCATTCTGCTTCACTTGCCTCTTCCCATTTTCTTCCAAATATTTTTTCCAGCCATGTCATAACTTGAGTTTCAATCCACTGTTTACATAAAGGTTAAGTTTTACTAAGTAGCTTTATTTGATTATAAATCAAAAGCAATCTAGTCATTCCATATCCATTTGTTATTTAATACAGTAATTCGGAAAAAAAAGGGGGGGGAGGCTGATCGAAGAGAATATCTCATAGTGTGTGAAGCAATTTAAAAATAAAATGATTTGTTAGATTTGATCTTGCCAGCCTTATTTTGGATATTTACGTTCCATCCATGTATTTTCAACGTGTTTGTTAAATGAAACATACCTTCGCCTTACTATCTGTTATTTGTAGCGTACTCTTAGATAGGTATTTTTGAGGTGGGACGCAAAACTTGACAAATTTCAAAAAGGGGACGTGGCTTAAAAAGTTTGAGAACCACAAATTTTATACTATTAATCTGCATGTCAGGTACGTCAAAAATGAAACGAATATCAAATAGATTCGAAAGAGGTTATATTCAATATGGTAAATCATTAATTTTAGGAAAAAAATTAGAATATTTTAGTTTGATATTTTAACGAGATAGAATATTTCCTGTAAATTTCTTCGCTGAAAATGACTTACCGGTAGTTTAAAATGTTATCAAAATCCCACTTTTGAAATTTCAATCCAGAAATTATTCAGAGTAGTAATTGGATATTGGTCATCCATATCTCTTAATATAGTATTGTACAGGGCTGATATGAAAATTATATAGCTAAAGAGAAATACTGTAATATAATATAATTAATAATAATAAAGTTTTAGAAGAAAGTTTGTAATTACTGTTTTTAGATGAGAGTGGATCCATGATTTCTCATATTTTCCTTTACAAGTTTTTTCCACATAACGTTTGATCTCAATTTCTAATACTTGTGATACAGGTTGTTCAGCAAGAAGAAACAACAAATCTAGATCAAATCTGAATAAATATAACATAAAAAATGTATTGCATTCGGAAATGAAAATGCTAATCTATCTCAGATATTAAAGAATCATGCTGATCTAGAAAGTAATGAGGTAACCAAACTTTGTTAGGTATTATAACTTTTGAAGATAAACACATTGTTGCATTCAAGTTTAAAACAATCCAGGGTATAACATCTAGCAGAGTTATACAATGGCATCGAAACAAATCTCTTGAACTATTTATTAATTTTTTTATCCTACTCAAAATTAGTTTCAGTAATTTCATAATATCATCACTAGAAATATACTGAAAAAAATTGACTTCATGAAGGAAGTATCTGTTTCGCAACCTATGGCATTCTGCTGGTCGGTTACCACTCCATCCATCATCAAGTCCATGTTTCCGAAACAAATAACTGGCTAACTAATCCCATACCCGACATTGACTGATACCCAGACAACAGGCTGTGGTTCGCCATATGATTAGGCGTCTTATTGGCTTCCTCTCCCCCGGGATAAATATGTAAATCCTATCCAGTGACAATGTGCTGTGGATTGAGATGCATATAACTTTTCTCTTATGCTAGTTCAACCCAGAATATTTTGCCATTCATAAAATACAGATACCGGTAACTACATATTTTCATCGATTTGATTGAACGTTATCTTTCATGCACTTACAAATATGTTGATGCCAAAGGTGTAAATTCATTTTGTATATAATCTGCACAATCTTTTTTCAGCATTTTGCGTGTTTTGCCATTCCATTCCAGAACAATATGATCTACTGATTCCCCTTCAGAGGAATTTTCTTCTTCCATAGAAATATCTGACAAGCTCGAATCTTGCCCTGATATCCAAGTATCAACCTAAAAAAACATCCCGCAATTTCTTTTTTAAAATAAAAGTTACTCAAAGAAACTCAGTTTGGGTGCCGAGTAGTCTCCTATTTGCGTATATAGGCAAAAATAGATATTGAACAGAAAAAGATCCTATTAGAATCACCTGAGTATTCACATTAATTAAACAGAATTTGAAACTAATGCCTGTTAAAAATCATTTTAACAATTTAATTGAAAATTAGGGATTATTTTTTCTATAAATTTACAACTTTTAAAATAATTTTTTTTTTCAAATCAGGAATAAAAGGAGAAGCGTGTTCCAGAAGCTTAGCTGCCTAGATTGAACATTTTTGTGTCATATATAAATTTGCAAAGAATATTATTTGCATAAGATAAAGATAGATCAAAAACTAAGGTTTCCAGCTTTTTCCATCTTTATTAAATATTAGGTGTCGCTACTTGATCTGTGCATCTCCTTCACCAATAATATATAGGCAATTATGTTATTTGACAGAAAAATATAAACTTGATGATGGCAATGATTACGTAAAGACTTACTTGAAATGCATGAGAGTAAAACTCAGCAAAAACATTTTTCATCTTCGAATCAAGATCCCACAACAAACATGAGATAAAAATTTCTCTAATTTTTGCAGCACATCTGTGATTATCAGGCCATAATTCTATCAGTTTGGTGTACCTTGAAAAAAAACCTGCCTTGAAAATTGTGAAAGAAACTTGATGGCATGATACTACTACCGTATTTCCCCGAAACTAAGACTGGGTTTTATTTCAATTTTCTTCCGAAAAATAACACTAGGGCTTATTTTCGAGAGATGTCTCATATTTTCACAAACACTTTTTTATTTAAAATAACTGCAAAACAGATTATCAATCATTTAAAGCGTGTAGGAGATTTCTTGTTATCGACCAGGTCAAAAAAAAAATCCGCCTTTTTGAATAGGTCTTATTTTAAGGAGAGAGAGCTTATAATATTAATAAAATCATTTTTAAAATTCAGGCTAGGTCATATTTCAGGGAAACACGGTATATGCTGAGAATAAAAAGCTTTGAGGTCTTTGTGAAAAACTGCTCGTATTACAGTCATTGTCATTGTTATACCAAAAACATCAATTTAAATTTCTTTAAATAAAATCAGATCCAGCTATTTCATTATTAAATTTTTCTAATCTTTATAAAGAGTCAGCCAACAACCTATATAAGTGACAGTAGTTTAACAGTGAAGAACTTCCTTATTTGGAGTCTATCTATCTTTACGCATGTCTATCCTGTTAAAATATAGAAAGAGACTTCCATTGCCAAAAAATAAAAAATTGTTAAAAATATTAAAACCTGTTTGCATTACCATGCAATATTTTGATGTAATGATTTCACTGCTTCTGCAAGTCTTGTCACTCCTCCGAATAGAACTTGTTTACGAAATATGGGAACAATTCTTTCCTGAAAATATTATGTGGATATCTCCATGTTCAAGATGTATATAATAAATTGGGTAGGCTATACCAAACTGTTAAGATTCTGATCCTTCTAAATTCCAAACTATATTGGCTCTTTACCTAGCAGTGACTGCTTGTGCACAGCATTTCTTGAAGGAATACTAATATGTCCCATAAATCTGTAATGTACAGGCTTGAAGCTTGTAGTAACATCAAAGTGACATGGTTCACAATTTTCATTTTTTTCTTGCAAAGGTGTGCAAAAAATTATGTATAACAGAGTCCTAAATTTTATGATGATAGAATTGACAGTACATATACTCTTCTATATTACACAGATTATCAATAGAGATGTATCAATATATCGGTATTGACAATATCGGCCAATTTTTTGGTATCGGTATTGTACCGATATTTCCGATATATTTAGCTTTTTAATATGATCCAGAATGTTTTAAAAAATAAGTTAGAATACTGATGTAATGTTGAAATTGTTTTTTTGCTAGGATGGATCGTGAACCATGAGCCATGCACGTGCCTACCCCCGCAAGTAGAAAAGGGAACGGGATTCTGACCTGTTTTCAGCCAAAATACCTCAACTAATTCGGCTATTTCTCACTGCCAAATTTTCATATTGACATTTTCAATTATACATGGTAATTATGATGAAATATATCAATCGAATAGTAGTGGATTTTCCGATGTGTGAAATACAGAATCATACGTTATATTGGCACAAACCCTGCGCACGTAAATCAATGTATTAGTTTGATAGGAAAAGTATACTAAACATTTATTTATTTTACTACATACACATGGTGGCCAAACCCAATGAGTTTTCTAATTGATTACAAGCGTCAGTGCACCATGCATCTGAATCAATTGACGCATCTGGATCACAAACATCAATTCCTTAATATGTGACATATTCATTTTTCAATCTGGAATGATGTGCACTATAAATAGTGCTCAAAGACTATTGTTTTAAACCCTCTTCCCTGCACACTTGAGAAAATAATTACACAGTATCGGAATATCGGCTATTTTGAAATATCGGCATCATTTTTTTTAGTTGGTATCGGATCAGTATTGGCGGCAAAAGTAGCATCAGAACATCTCTAATTACATGAATTATGAATATAAGCAAAATATCAAGCATAAAATCAAAGACATAAAGCTGAAACAGTACAATACTTACTTTTAAATCTTCTCGAAAATTATCATAAAGAAGAAGTTCATAATATTCTAATAAATTATTTTCTTGTAGCAAAGATAATGTTCCTTTCATCCCAATTATATCAGACTCTTTCCAGTTTACATCTGCTTTTTCCTATGAATAGAATATTCAAAAAAATTATTTCTATGATACTGAGTTCAACCATGTAAATGTCATAATTCAATGAAAAATCATCAGATAGGTGACCAAAAAATGATCTACATGAGATTGATGTAACTTTTGGCGCAGCATCAAACCTCAATATTTTTTGCAAAATCTATAAATCAGAATTCTAGGTTTTACTTGTACAACATGTTGCCTCTCATGATTTAGGGTGGCTTACCCACTTTGCGGCCATGACCTATCTGCGACCATCAACTTCATCGATTAAATTTATGTCGAAAAAATTAACGAACCGCGACGATATTTCTCACGCGTTATCGTCCACTTATCCCTTGTAGCTCTGCGAAATTACACTAAAATGCGGCCACAAATATAAAAGTTACGACTGAAAACCTGACCGAAGAAAAAAAACGGACCATTTTACTATGTCGCCAACTACCCATTGTTCCTTTAAAAAAGCTTGAAAGTCCATACAAATATAAGAGATAAAGAGATGAAACTTGGCAGGTGAGTAGAGTTGTGTTTCTTTCAACCATCTTTGAAGTTTCGCGTTTCTACATTCAAAGGAGGGGGAGTAGGGGGGTGCGCATTTCCAATACGTCAATAATATCTTTGTCAACAAATCTGCGACCACCGTGCTTTCGTCTGTTTGATTGCTGTGATGCGGTGCTTTGTTTATAATTTGAAGAATTTTGTTCGAAATACCCGTGTTCCCAAAATATATTACGGTCAGAAATGCAATTAGAAGCCCATTTTTTCACGCATGGCTGCGTATGCCCTAGTCTCGACGCAGCAAAAACGATGTTCAAGACTTGAAATCTGTGATCGCACACTGGTCGTTCGGTCACAAATACGTCTTCAGAGTGTCGTACTTTGGTGGTTTGTATAGCTTTAACCCCTGGTCGTAGAAAGTTAATTCGAAGTTCAGCGTGTAGAATAAATGCCAATGCACCTACGGTGAAAAAATTAACGGGTTAGAAATATTGGTTTTGTTTATAGCGGTTTCCGCAGACTGGCTACACCACCCTATATCAGTATATGGTTTTCAATTTCCTCTGACTAGTACAAGGAGTGACGCTCTGTGTCCTTGAATGTGTCATTTACCAGCAAAATTTTCCGTTTTTTATTGAAAAATTAATTACAGAATATGCAACATTCACAAAAAGTAATATTAGATTTAAACGTAACATAATAATTGACCTTATCAATATACGGTGCTTTTTAGTCAAGATAATTTGAAGAACACGGCAGTTTACGGTACGATTTGTGTCCGAAGTTAGGCAATTAGACTGGACGGTACCGGTACGGTAAGTTATCGAACAGTTTTCAGATTTAAAACCAATCGGAAATTTAAAATGCTTATTTAACTTACATTGAAATTCAAATATCTGACGGCATTTTCGAAGATAAGATCCAAATCCATTCTGACTGTCTGACCAAAGGCCTACTTTCAGCGTTTTCTTGAAGATTTGTGTTCCATTTAGGGAATTCCCCCGATGGAATTCGTTCTAGCGAAATCATCCAAGTATAGCGATAAACATCGACTTCTCTGTTTATTGGACACGTTTAGTGGACATAACGATCGTTTTTGGACACGTTTAGTGGCCATAACGATCGTTTCAATATTATGTTGTTGTTGTTGTTGTTCTTGTTCTTTGACACGTTTTTAAAAAGTCGCTTTTCTCTTCGAATACTGGACCAATTGCTTTGAAATTTTCAGTGGTTAAAGATTAATTTTTTCGCTAGAAGGCTATTTCAAAATTTTGCGTGAATTCTATGAAATTTGATATTTCGTCTAAAATTTTGCTGTATTATTTTTTATCCATGGGAACACGGATTTTAGTCAGTGTCATGACTGGCTGTACGTTTTGATTCTGCAAAATTCTTGCTACTGGAAATTCAGAACTTTTTTGAGGGTACCGGTAGCGTCAAAGGTACCGGTAAGGACTGATTCGCTCTGGTCTAACGTGTCCATATATTTGTGCGTAGCTCTCTTGTGTTGTTATGTTGTTCTTTGACACTTTTTAGACACCTAGTGGAAATATTGAAAAACCTCTTTTCTCTTTGATCACTGGACCAATTGCTTTGAAATTTTCAGTGGTTAAAGATGAAATTTTTCTCCAGAAGGCTATTACTTTTATTTATTTCAAATATTCCTGTTAGCTTTGTAAGATTTGTTTTGGTTTGCTATGACGTCACTGAACGTTCTGCTGACATCAGACGCCATTTTGTGTCCGACTGTCCTGCTTCGCTGGTGTGTGAATATATTTGTAGACTGTGATCTGACGGTACGGTAAACCGTACTCTACTGCGAATAGACGTATCCATATTGGGCGTAGCTCTCTTGTTTCTGTAACAATTACGAAGCATCAATGACGTAACAATTGTAATTTATGCTGCCGCTCAGGCACTTCTTTGCTGCTCAGACAGATATTCGGGCGTGGTTGTAATCATTGCCCTTTTTTGGTAGTTTTGCGCGTTATTTGTCAGTTTTTAGTTGTGTTTCAAAAAAATAGTTCTAAATCAAAAAACTTAATTGTCATCACGCCTTCCGATGACCTTTGTTAGTCGTTGGTTTACTTACAGAAAAAAAATTGCAATTGCAAAAATTGATACCGCGAACGTTGTGGGTCGAGGGTCGGGAAAACGTTCATTTACATCAATTTTTATATATGATAAAAATATTATATGAACTTTGAAAAAATTGCAACTAAAAATGGTGAACTGTCAATCCATACGAAGAAGTGGGAAATTATCTTAAACTCGCGTGTTATCATGTCTATGAAAACATGATGTTTTTACCAATGTAAAAAGTAAATACATCATACATTGGATTTGGTGCTTGTCTAGGTTTATTAGTGGAGATTAAAAAGTCTGTCCTTGACCTGAGTCTGATTTTGTGAAGTTATAATATAGTTGCCATTCGTCAGGGGATACTATCTTTACTTCGTACTAGTATTGGATAAGATTTACATATTTATCCCGGGGGAGATGAAAGCCGATAACACGTCTTAATCATATGACGAACCATGCTTCTCGCCCGGTTACCGGTCCATGCCGGATATGAGGTCAGTTAGCCAGTTATTTGTTTTGTAACAAATTAACCAATAATTTTGAATATATTGACATCAACACTAAAAATAATTCTTGGCGTCATAAAATATTGGAGATTATTCTAGAACATTCTAAGCATGATGTTTCAACATAACATACAAAATGCAAATTCCCGAGTGATATGTCGGATGACCTTGTATTTACATGAATAATCTGCTGTAAGAATGGTATCGAATAATCGAGAAAGGAGTAATCTTGCTCCGTGAAAACGAATGTGCTAAGATAACACCGAAAGAAACAATTTTGAACAAAGAAATTGAAAATGTGTGTACCCTTTTAAATACGATGTCGAGAACATTTTCTTTACCTTTTTACTTAATCTAAACCAGGGGTCGGGAACCTTTTTGGTCAAGAGAGCCATAAAATATACATATTTTCAATTGCATTTCCGTGCGAGCCATATAACATTTCTTCAATTAATCAGACCTGAAATGTTTACTCGAAAGTCAACACATACAATGTCATTATACATTTAATGTGATTTCTGATGCTGCATGTAAGCGCTGCGGACCTTGAACGGTTGCTCACCTGCAGCCCAATGTGGAAATCTACGATACTCATCACCCTTTTTCGTTTAGACATCTCCGTAGTTTTTTTAAAACTATATCGCTTTGTGATGTCACAATATATGTTCCGGAATCCTCTTGTTTGTCACAATGCCTGTCTAGTAAATATCTTACATAACATAGACATGTTCTGGGCGCGTGTTTTGAAACGTATTGGGAATTTCCTGCCAAATTCGGCTATAAAAGAGTTTGGGATCTCGTAACAATAGTAAGCTTAGTCTTAGAATATTAGATTTTTCTGGGAGCCATATGCCGTCACCAAAAGAGCCATATATGGCTCGCGAGCCATGGGTTCCCGACCCCTGATCTAAACTATCATCGACCTGGCTTAGGAACTGTGAGTGGTATTTTGACTTAAGTTTATTGTAATATATCTATCGAAGGAAATAAATTCTATACAGTCAATTTTCTGATCCATTGCTGTTATATCAAATTAAAAGACATCCCAGTTGAACACGTAACCTATTACATATTCTGTTTGAAGTCAGCTTAATATCTTGCTAGTTTAGTTAGTAGTTACAACAAAAGACGTTTCAGTTTTAGATGCATGGACCAGCGACTACGTGAAGCACCATACAGCAACGAAGACTCCAGAAATCCTCTCGCACATAATTATCCCCCAAGAAATTCAAACCTGCGCATCCACATAATCTAATCAGAGGTGCGGTGGCGAACGTATTCCTAACGCAAAGCACGATGGGCCTCACCGCCAAGTAGGGTTGCCAACCGTCCTTTATTTCAAAGGACAATCCTTTATTTGAGATTAGTACTGTGTTTGATATTGTTTCGTTCTTAAATCGCCTCCGTTTATGTATTTGCAAGCTTTTAATTATTCTTTTTTCATTTCGCTTTGGTATGGCTCAAATAGCCAAAGAAATACCAATTTTATCAACAATTTCAAATATTCTACATTAATTTTCCGAAGATGGCAATAGTGGCAACACTCCAAGATTTGAGTGAATTCTAGTTCAACAACTGAAAATTCTACGTATAATTGGTCTCTAAGATTTTAGATTATTTCTCAACTCTGCGATAACGTATTTGGAAAAAAGATTTGACTCTGATGAAAATTCAACATTTGGAAAATTATCTCTTTTGGATAATCTTTCTCCAAAATATCAGACACTTGTAAAAATTGTAGAGCATTTGAAGCTAAAAGACAAACTTAATTTGAATATGTTTGACCTATTTGATGAAGTTGCACTCATTCAAATAAAATTTGGCACGATTCAAAGCACTAAACTGTTCACAGAATGCAGTTTGATTGCGTCAATGTTAAATAAACATTAAATGAAAAACACATGAAGATATTTTAATATATCTTTTTAGCTTGTATATAGTTTGTATTTCATTGTTTTATATTGTTCTGTCCTGCAAGTTACAAAATAAATGATGACGGTAATCTATGTCCTTTATTGAGACTTTTCATAGTTGTCAACCCTACCGCCAAGTCAATATAGATCGTTTTGTTATTGGACACAAAATGTATTTTTCTTCTTGTTATGTTGTTGTTATTGCTCTTATTGGACTCGAAATGTACATATGGATCGTTTTGGTATTATGTTGTTGTTGTTCTTGTTAATTTCCTTGTTATTATTTTACTTGTTATGAACAAATCGCTTTTTTCATTAACTACTGGACCAAATTGCCTTCGTTTTTTGTGTGTGATGACGTAATCAAAATTAAAAATTGTGCACCTCGTGGCGGCAGTCTACTGTGACAGATTGCATACTCGTTCTACTTTGAGTTGTCTTTCGTGTCCATATATTTGAACATCGGTCTCTTGTTTTTCTCCTTGTTAGTGTTCTTCTTCAATGAAAAAAATCGATATTTTTATTAACTGCTGGATCCATTGCTTTGACATTTTCAGTGGCTGAAGATTGTTGTCGTCAGAAGGCTATTACCTTTATGTAGCTATTTATGTTCTATGAATCCGTGGTTTAATCCGCCAATCGTGACGGTCGTTTTCTGTTTTAATTTTGCAAAGTCGTGCGACACGAAAGTCAGAAGCTTTTCGATATCAGTGGCCAACTGTAGACTAGGTAACGTATGATGAGTTACTGTAAAAGGTAAAGTATTGTAAAAAAAAATTGATACTAAAGTTGTGAGTCTATTCATTTGGCATTTCGCTATCAAACAAGTTACGTTGAGCTAGTCTCTGCTAGTAGGACTACTGACTTCGCAAATTCAAAACTGAAGACGGTCTTACCGTAGGTCGTTGCCCTTGGTGTGTTGAAGGCCTTGTTTCCATAAATAAAAATGGAAAAGCGAAATTCTGGATGAAATATCAGGAAATTTATAAAAGGATTACTCTTCAAATCGACAACAACAATCTCAAACTTCTGTAGGGGACCGATTTGAAGAAAAGTACAACAACAACAACAATTTATTTTAAATGGACCATAGCCATATGGCCATTTCGTGTCCAACAAAAGTCAATTCTTGAGCTAGGGCGGAAAACATGTCATTAATCTTGTGGCATGCGTGACACCTTCAAGGGCAAAGTTTTCTTTTTTGCATAGACCGCATTCAGAAAAAGGATCGCATTGACAATTAATTAACTGTGACGTCATAGTTACTATTCTCATTCGCTATGGTAGTGTCGAATTTAATGGCGGCTGAACCGGTGATAAAAAAAATATTGAATACCATTTAGCAATTCATATAGTTGAGGGTTGCCATACCGTCCGGAAAATTCCGGACATGTCCGGAATTTTGGGTTAAATTTTGCGTCCAGGAAGAATTTAAAAAATGCTCAAATGTCCGGAATCCGCATCTGCAATCGTACTGTGCACACTGCTAATACAGAACATTGTTATTTCGTACCGTGCGGATATTTCTTACTAC